CAATATACATTTCTATGACTAAAAAATGTTACATTATTGGCTTTCTTGGAGCTACTCATTCATTGAAAAATTTAATTTTGAATTTTTTAAACCTAATAAAATACATGTGTAAATTGAAAATGCCTTTAATAAAGAATTAGTAAAATTCTGTGAATACTTGTACAAAAAAGTTTAACATAAATTATATAACAATGCTGAGGAGATCCCTGCAGCAAACTTAACTGTACGAAATGTTCACCTGGGGAGATCTCGGCAGGTGTAAGCTACTTGACTAAAGAAAATTACCGACCTGGGGAGATCCCGGCAGGCCTATTCCTGGGGATATCCCAGCAGGTATTAACTGAATACCTTAAAATACATAATTGTTCCTTGGGAGATCCAGGCAGGAATTAACTTAATAAATTAAAATACCTAATTGTTCCTGGGGAGATCCCTGCAGGAATTACCTTGAATATTAAAATACATAATTGTTCCTTGGAAGATCCCAGCAGGAATTAATCTATCTGATGTATTATTGAATTGGGGGAGTATGATTCCCCTTGAATTATAAAGGCCAAATTGAATGAATTCATAATAATGAGTTAGTGAAAGCCCCCTAGAAATAATGCTTCATTAAAATATAAATTGGTTACATGAAAACTATAACAAAGACTCAAAAAAGACACATTTTTGCCTGAGCTTTACAAATAACCTTCTTATCAGTCCTGATGTATCTTATATAATAGTCTGAGGACCGTCGCACAAGTGTTTGAATAACATGATTCTTGACTCCAGCTGCGGCAGCTGAAGTAGCAGCACCAATTCTGAAGGAATGACCACAAAACTTGCTTTTGTTATTTATAACCAAGGTGTATTAAAAGTTATGGTAAATAATTAAAATTTAATACAATTAAGTCACTTAAGTCTCTCAGTCAAGCTGTTTGAATAAGCACTTTTGCCATTTTGAAAACAACTATGGTAGTTTAAATAGAACGGAAACTTGTTCAAACTGCTTTTACATATCTTTGAAAGCTCTTTGTCAGAAGTAATTTGCCAATGTTGACATTTAAAAAGGTAACTTAGCAACAAATTTTACACAAAGGAATGTGATATTATATTACATCTCTAACCAAATATGAAAGTTGATTTGATTAGATTTTTCTTTTTTTTGGTACAAGTATTAATGACATTATATGATTGATCAAAGTTTTCACTTTGTATTGCAATTTTTAAAGTGAATTCAAAATGGAATTATGTTTGAAATACGTTTCTTATGCTTCATTAAATTTTTATAAATTTAAAAATTTTCCATCATTCATAATAATATTTTTGCATGGATTTATTTTAAAAATATTTTTGCATGGATTTATTCTAAAAATATTTAAAGTAGATTGCATACAGTTTCTTAATCTTGTTTGTTTGTGGATTTTTGTTCAGACCGTTGGGGAAATATCCAAGATAACTGCTGAATGTATGTTTTTATCAGAAGTAATGAAGTAGATGGAAAACTGTTAGACACGCATCTGACAGATGAATTTAAGGCCATGCTTATTTGATAATAGTTAAATATGAAATATTTTCCGTTAAAAAATATTTTTACTCAAGTTAAAGGAATATTAAATGATAACATATTAGAAGAAATATTAATTAAAAGAAAAATATTAAATAAAAGGAAAATTATTCTAATATGTAAGCCAGCTTCAGATTTTGCCCAATTATCCTTGTAGGAAAAAAAGAGTAATATTAAATTACACCTATCAATGTTTTAAAAATATAGATTTGCTTATAGACTATATTTGAACAAAAAAACATTTCTTGATTCTACTGCATACTATTTAATGAAACAATAAAAAAAAGACATCTTTGATGTTTCCTGTCATACAAAGATTTCAATGAGTTTTCAGGTTTTTTGCTTTAATTTGAAAATATTTGTATGTATTGATGTTTAAGAACAAAAACTTAATTTTCCTATCACATTCAACAACCCCCCTCAGGGAAATCATTTTTGATTAAAGAAATTTATGTGTCTTCCTCGGGTTTGGTTGTACTTTGGTTTTTAAATTGTTTACATCAGCTCTTACAACTTTTTTGGTAGGTTTTATGTTTTGATTATTTTAGTATCAAGTGATATTATTTGTCAAAATGCCCATTTTGTGCAGTAAAGTGTATGCCATTTAATGTTATTCTAACACTGTATTGGTTAGTAATTGTCAAATGAAAAAGTTTAATAGGTTGCCATTCAGCAATATCAAACAAATAAATTTTATTGTTTGGCCTTTGATTCGTGATGAAATTTTAGATTTCATTAGAAAGATAATGAAGAAAACTTGATTAGAACTTTTATTTTTACCTATCTTAATTGTCATCAGACATATGGGGACTGCATTAATATTATATTGATATTTGTATAACTTTTTTGTATTTGTATATTATCTTTCTTGGGAATAGAAAGGTCTTTGATCTCAGCAAACATTTATATACAGAGGGTGAACAAAAAAACACAATTTCATTATCTGGGTAAATACGAAGGTATTAGGTGTTATTTCAGCTAAAATTATCATTCTAACTATTTATGTGACCTTTCTCACCATTTATTACTGTGAATATTAAAGTATTTTAAAAGATTCTAACAAACTTTCCATGGCATTGTATTGTTAATAGCCTTGAAAAAAATTTTCTGTCCGTCCGTCCGTATATGTGTCCGAAACAAATGGTTTCCAAATACTAAATTGAGTATCCCTTGCTTGATTGGAATAACATTTATACAGGTGAAAAATTTAGGGAAGTTGAAGAACCCTATTGATTGTTGGGTTGATAGGTCAAAGGTCAAGGTCTTTGTTACTAAAACTAAATTTCTTTTGGAAAAATGGTTTAACTAATGAGTTTCTCTTGCTTTATTGGAATGAAATTTATACAGAGGGAAGATATAGGGAAGGGGAAGGAACCTTTTGATTTTGGGGCCTTATATATTAAAAGTCAAGGTGACTGTTACTCTGATATTGCATGTATGCAAATGACGGACACTTGACATGTAAGACAAATCCATAATTATTCTTTTCAGTTGTTTTTCCTGACATTACTATGTAATCGAGGCAAACTTTGTAAAAGTAGATTTTAACCTATGTCTATTAGTGGTATTTTTTTCAAGCAGTAGAGAATCTGTGAATATTAGAATCAGATTTTGTATTGATTTCATTTAGATAATCCCATGATATTGCAAATGTTAGGTATATATAATTGTTGACACATCTTAAAATTCAGCCCTGCTGTATTTTTCATTGCAATTTTCATTATCGCCACAGGTCACATTTCTTTGTTTCAACAAAAAAACAAAAGGTGCAAGAAGATCACTTGTTTCACTGCTAAGTGCGTGCATTCTGTATTTCTCTGATTATAAGATCAGTCATGCTTGAATACACACCAGTTTGTAGTAGCAGGAAGATGAAAAATAAAGAATGCTTATATAAGTAAACAAGTTAGAACATTACATTAATCTTATTATTCAGGCGGAAGAAAACATATTACTGTTGAGAAGTTTCCTGTGAATTCTTGCAGAATTTGAATCATAAATCAAATTCAAGAGACCTGATGTTTTCCAATCTGTTATGACATTATCAATCATCGTATGAAATATGTGGATATAAATAACATTTGAGCCACCATGACCCACATTTCATGATATAATAAAAGTTATTTGGTTTTCTTCCTCTAGATTCACCCATGGCTGTTAATTAGATAAGGAGGAAACAATGACCTAGATTCCATCATATAGTCAGTTAGAAAAGGTCAGAACATTGCCACACTCAGGTCTTATCTCTGAGTTATCTGAGTTCAGCATTTTATACTTTTTAGGATTATGGATAATTCCATTTCCTAACAACCACAAAAAATAATGGTACGCTATTGGTCAGATATCTAATGTGTAAGACATTGTAAACTGATCACAAAAAAAGCATGTTAAACTTAAGATTAACCCGTTCTGTACACAGTCAGACTATCTGACCATTGTGTTGCTCCTTGTTGTTTGTCTTAATTATGCCCCCGCCGTAGCAGTGGGGGCATTAAGTTTTACTCTTGTCTGTCTGTACGTACGTACGTACATACGTACGTCCCAAAATTGGTTTCCGTTCTCTAACTTCAGTTCTCCTCAACCAAATGTTATGAAACTTATACACAATGCTTATAACCACAAAACACAGATCAAGTTTGAATTTTGGTGGCGTCACTTTATCTGTTCTAGAGTTATTTCCCTTTATAAATGGAAAAATTGCAAAATTTTTAGTTTTTTGTCTGTTTGTCTGTTTTGAGTTTGATGTTGGTGGTTTATGAGATATGTTTTATTGTCCAATATTTTTGATAATTCTTGTATTTTGATGTAGGACTTTGTAAATCTGACACAACATTTTGGAGTACTCTCTTTAAATTAACTGAATGTTACCTAGAATGCATTAGATTCTGAATCAGGTAGTTTCTACATCAGACAGAAGATTGGTAAAGTAATTAAGCTGTCTGTTATTTTCAGAGCTGTAATACCATGAACCTGAATAATATGCTAATATGAATTATATGAAAAATAACTTTTGTTTTACACTATTTTTCAGCGCCTGCTGCCATGTGACAGTCTCTATGTTATTATTGTCACTATCAAATTTTACTTGTACAAATTTTCTTGGTCAAAGTTTTTGATGGATTATTTTATAGTGACAACCATTTAAGAAAACTTTGATCAAAAACTTTGGACAAAAAACAATGGACTTGGATGGAATAAAATATCATCCTATTTTTCTTGAAACTTGGATGGACTTGGACAGAATTATCTAATCACAATGCAGTTTTTTCTTTGACCAAGTTTTTGATGGAAAACTTTGATAGTGACAATTGCAACTTATGACCAAAGTTTTCTTTGACCAGGCTTTTGACCAAGTTAACTTTGATAGCGACAAGTGGGTTTAACTTAGTATTACATTATAACTTTCTGTGCTTCATGCCCACCTTTGAACTGTTATCATTATTTTTTTCAGTGCCTCATGCAAACCTGTATATCTTGATCAACCCGATCAGACTGATGGTGGATTATCTAACTTTGTTGTGGACAAACTACTTCCTGTTGAACTTGGCTCAAAGTATGGTAAGTCAGTTATAATAACTTTTATCCTACTGGTACTAGTACTCCGATTTTCATACTTCTCTCTGTTCATTCTTCCGTCAGGGTCCTGATGGCCAAGTGGTCTAAGTAATCGAAATACTGTATCACTAGCCTGTCAGCAGTTTGAATCCTGCAGATGGTAGGTGAGTTCAACTCCAATCTTAAATGACTAGGATTGTCAGTTTTCCTTCAAAGGTCGGTAGTTCTCTCCTTGCACTCCGGTTTTCTCCCCCATTCAAAACTGACTGCCACAAAATAGCACAGTAGTGCTGAAAGTGGTGTTAAACACTAATCAATCAATGAATGAATCAATCATCCTTCTGCCAATATTTCAAATTTGTTTTAATAAATTTCTCAACTACAAAATAAATTTTTTTTTATTAAGGTTTACTGGCAAAGTAATGCTATTTTTAGCTCACTTGATACTTTTACTTGTCATCGCCGTAAATCGTTGTAAACTTTTACAAATATCATCTTCTTTGAAACTAGGGCTGAATGATCCTCAAGTTATTTAGTATAAAGTATGTGTCTCCTCATGGGATTTATTGCCCTTAAATGACATTTTTACCCATTTCTTGCATTTTCAATTATCTTAAAAACTATTATAGTAAATGCTATGAATGATAAAATTGATCAACAAATATATCAACTTTTTACAGAAGTTTTGCCCGTCAGTTACAAGTTAAACCAATTATTTTATGATATTTTTATACCCCCGCTTTAAAAAAGTGGGGGTATACTGTTTTACCTCTGTCTGTCCATCCATCCATCCATCCCTCCATCCGTCAGTCTGTCAGTCCGTCCGTCCGTTCTTCCGTTCCATGAAAATTTTTCGTCACACCTTTCTCAGGAACTACAATACAAGGATTTCTGAAATTTGGTTTCAGGGTTTATATAAGTCAGCTATACGGTGTGATGTGTTTTCAGATTGATCACTCAACATTTTCCAGTTTACCGAACACTTACATCATTTTACACAACACATCCAAGTTGAAAATTTTCGTCACATTTTTCTCAGGAACTACATTACAAGGATTTCTGAAATTTGGTTTCAGTGTTTATATAAGTCAGCTATACCGTGTGATGTGTTTTCAGATTCATCACTCAACAACTTCCTGTTTACCATCAAGTATTTGGGATGGGGGTATCATCAGTGAGCAGTAGCTCGCAGTTTCACTTGTTTTTTCTTAAATACTTTGATATAAAGATAGAAGCTGTATACAGCAAATATGATGAGCAAGTTGAAATTATAAGTTAGTCAAATCAACAAAATTGACTATCAACTTCTAGTAAGAGTCATAATGCCCTTAACTGCTGATTTTTATCATTTTTATCAAAAAAAGTAAACTGAACTTTCTATCCTCCTCTTATAGTAGTTATTACCCTAAAATGACAATTTGAATCATTATGGCTTTATTTTGTGATCTTTATTTTCTTGAAAACTATAAAAGATATATTAGAGATAAATTTAAGCAGGAAAGTTATTAGTAAGATAACATCTACAAATAAGTCAACATGATAGAACTTGCTGATCAACTCCTTACAATGTGTATAGCCCTTGATTAAGGTTTTTTGGTATTTTTGGCAATTAGTCTTGAAAACTATAAAAGATAAAGAGACAATGTAAACATCAAAAATGCTGGGATAGATAGGTAAGATTTTTGCCCATTTTTTTTTTAATTCAAATATAATGTGAGACACAATTCACTACCAAGAGTGCAAATAAGAAAATTTGAGGTACAAAAAAAGAGTTGTTAGGGAATCTCTGAACACTGACATGTGCATTTTATATTGGCACTTGTATCTACAGAATATGTCATTAGCTTTTAATTTATCAATCAAACATGTCAAAGTTTACTTAACACTTAAATGAGAAAGAACCTTAGGCATGAGATAAGCACATGTACAGTAATTGAAAATTCACCAAAGATCAGATCTTGTTTAATAAATATCTTATATTGAATTAATAAATGATGGAAATTTTAAAAAAAATTATACCTATTTCCATCATCTAGATATTTTTAGAATAAGTTTTAGAAACTGAAGAATTATTGTGAAGAGCCTTATTAGTCCCCGAAGTCGAAGGGGACTTTAGGTTTGCACTCTGTCTGTCTGTCTGTCTGTCCATCCGTCAGTCGTGCAAATCAGTTTTCCACACTGTTTTTCTTTGTGCTTGAAGGTATTGATTTGATATTTGGTATATGTTACAGATCAAGTTCGAATTTTTTTCCTGTCTGATGATTTTGTCCAGAGTTATGGTCCCAAATAATCAGTTTTCAGCCCCTTTTTTGGTCAAGATATTGATTTGATAGTTGGGATATAGTTTTATCATGACAAGTTACAGATTGTGTACAAATTTTGTTCCGGTCTGATGATTTTATGCAGAGTTATGGTCCTTTACTCGAATAAGCAGTTTTCCACACTTTTTTTCATCATGTTTGAAGATAATGGCTTAATATTTGTTATATAGTTTACACCATGACAAGTTATAGATCAAGTTAGCATTTTGTTCTAGTCCAATGAAATTTTTAACCGGTAGGGGACTATGTATTGCCATGCATTACACTCAGAATGCTTGTTTATATATACCGTGAGCTTCGTACTGGTTTGAACTACTGTAATGGGGATACAGTGTATTCTCTTTATGTCCTTTGTCCAATATGGATAAATAATCCTTTCTTGTATAAAAAAAAACCCTAACATTAAAGTAAACAAGCTTAAATACCAACATTGATTGAGTTTCCTTTATCTATTGTAAATTTATAGCTGAAACTCTTAATGAAAAATTTACAAGTTCAGTTGGTACTTTGAATTTTTTTTTTGTTAAATCAGTTGCATTGGAAGGAAATAATTATAAAAAAGTCTGCATTTGCTATTAGCAGGTATTTGACTTTTATGCATTTCCTTCCTTTGTTAGTTTAATGATTGAACTGTGTACTTTATCATGGTTAAGGAAAGTAATAGTATTTATGAAATTGACTGCTAAAGAATATATTTATTTTAAGTTCTTACAACCTTTTATCATTTAATGTACAATTCATGTTCACCGATTTGACTCAAATTCTCATATTTGATTTATTACCATGTAAAACTTTATCCAAATTATAAAAAGTCTAAAATAAACAATTTACAGGGCATGGGCTCGATAATATGTAGCTTCGTTTCCTGTGTATTTTTGGTCTTGACGCCATCTAATTAAATATCGAGTTGACCTCCGAAGTACTCCGATTGTCATATAAGCGATATAAACATAAATATAGATATAAATAGAAAGCAGACTCGTGCAATTGTATTTTTCTAGGTCTGTTTAATTTCATATTATAGATTAAAAATATATATTAATCATTGTTTTTACCTGTATAAGAATGATTTTTTGTGGATCGAATCAGTCAATCAAATGATTTACCTTTGTTTCACTTTCAACGTAGACATTCTTTTCCTTTAAATAACCAAACACACACAATGCATGCGTTATCCATCTCTAGCTAAGGGGTTTAATTGAAATTCACATGAATACGGATTCAATGAGGTTGAATTATTCACTTGCAAGTGATTAATTCATCATCAATGTTTCTTCGCTTAATTTGACAAAATTGAACCATACTGGCTGCTGAAAGCGAATTATTATTTCACTATTTCACTTTCATTAATGATTGAACAAAAAAAATCATACTTTAGATTTTTTATATATCTCGTAGCTAGTGCCCCTTTAAATATAAACGTTATTAAGATTTTGGATCTAAATGTGTAACTTTAAACACAAAACTTTGACAGAAATTGTCTAGTGATATGAAAGCAACATTCTCCCAAGAAAATTAATTGTAAAATCTCTCAACAATAGCTTCATAAGTGAATAAAATTCCCTTCCTGTTTACATATTGTGATTCCAAAAAGTATTTTTAAAATATTCAGATTTTCAATTCCAGACTTATGGGACTTAAACTGTCAAATTTCAGGCAAATTTAATATGTATAAGGAGATCCTCCTAAAAGTTACTCTGCAAGATCATTTTACTGACTTCTGATATTATATATATACATGCTTTCTACAACATTGCAACAATTAGAATTTGCATTCAACAGGCACATCTTGTGCTCCTGGCACATTTGTTTGTTTCTATGCAGTACATGTACTTCAATAAGAATGAATAGAAGCTTAGGTATTCATGGTATTGTCCTTTAACTTAAAAATACAACATATTGACTCTTCCAAAGTTTTATTCAGAAATTGTTTTTAAAAAAAGGTGGTATGATTGCCAATGAGACAACAAATGAAGTGGATGTACGCCGTACGGCCTTCAACAATGAGAAAAACCCATACCTTATAGTCGGCTATAAAAAGGCCCAGACATGAAAAATATGAAACAATTCAATTGAGAAAACTAATGGCCTGATTTACAACAAAACAATTTACGAAAAACAAATATGACAGACATGAACCAACGACAACCACTAAACTACATGTTCATGACTTTGGACAGGAACATAAAGAATGTGGCAGGGTTAAACATGTTTGTAAATGCTCTATCCTCCCCTAACTTGGGACAGTGGTGTTACAGCTCAACATAAGAACAAACTATAAAAGTCGGTTTAAAAGGGCTAATAACTCATCACATCGATACAAAGCAGAAAAACATCTAAAAAAAACACAGACCAGACATGGCAGGGTATTTATACATCCTTAACAACTTAAAAGACCCAAAGTACAGATCTGAGAGTACTCACAGTTACTGACAGCTAGTTTAAAGCCAATAATAACTAAAAAATAAAATCATGTTTCTAATAAGACTAAAATATCAATCAGTACACATCCAACATCCAATGGATTTAATGTAAAGATGTCATTAACAGTCACAGAAAAACATGACCTTGCTTGTGCAATGCCAAAATATAGGTATCGACAGATTGTTGTACCGTGAAAGTGCATATGTGTAAAACGATAATAAATCAATATTTATACCAATATAAACAATATTCAAAGATCTAATTACAGTATTGAATTGGTAACCTTTTAGAATAAGTTTATTTAAAGGATCGATAAGTTTACCTGGATCGTATCCAAATTTCCAGGCTCGGTAAGCAACATCACCATAAAATTTAGGATGTGCTATTCCGTTTGAAATAAGTTTTCTACAGGTACAGCCAAACTTGCAAACCAAATCTTTGTATCTATGGATGAATTTTGTAAAGGTTTTAAGTAATTTGTGGTAACGGAATCCCTGACTTAATATTTATTTACCAGTAATACATAGATTACGCTGGTTTAATTGAAATCCAAAACGTCACTACAGACACGGAGCATAAAGAAAGAGTTGGGATCTGTAAAATCTCCCAACATTCGGCACAAAATTTAATGCCCACACTGGACAGGGTAATTAGATGTTAAAGAATGCAATCTTATTAAACTTTAAAATATCTGAGAATTTTATTTTTAGAATTTTCAGTACTAGTATTGATTGTTTCTTTTGCTAACAATTATCAGATGATAAATTTTTTTCAACAAAAATTGTAATTTAGATTCTTTAGATGTATCAAAAGTGCTTACGCCTTTGAAACATGCTAATTTTTATACGACCGCAAAAATTAAAAATTTTTTGGTCGTATATTGGTATGATGTTGGCGTCGTCGTCGTCGTCGTCGTCGTCATCGCCGGCGTCGTCCGAAGACACATTGGTTTTCGCACTCTAACTTTAGTTTAAGTTAATGGATCTCCATGAAATTTTACCATAAGGTTCAATACCACGAAAGGAAGGTTGGGAGTGATTTTGGAGGTTATGGTACCAACAGTTAAGGAATTAGGGGCCAAAAAGGGGCCAAAAATAAGCATTTTTGTAACTTCCAGACAATAACTTGTGTGTAAGTGTATGGATCTCTCTGACATTGTACCACAAGGTTCCATATCACATAGGGAAGGCTGTAATTGATTTTGGGGGTAATTGCCTCAAAATTTTAGGAATTAGGGGCCAAAAAAGGGGCAAAAAACAAGCATTTTTCTAGTTTCATGACAATTACTTGTGTGTAAGTGTTTGGATATTTCTTAAATTGTACTACAAGGTTCCATATCACAAAGGGAAGGCTGGAATTGAGTTTGGGGGTAATAGCCCGAAACGTTTAGGAATTGGGGGCCAAAAAGGGGCCAAAAATAAGCATTTTTCTAGTTTCCAGACAATAACTTGTGTTCAATTGTATGGATCTCTCTGAAATTGTACTGCAAGATACCATACCACAAAGGGAAGGCTGGGATTGAGTTTGGGGGTGATGAATCATAAGGGGATAAAAAAATTTTGGGGGGGGGGGGAGGTTTTCTTTTTTTTTCTTTTTTTCCTTTTTTTTTTCTTTTAAAATTTTCCATTTTAAGTTGGTTATTTCTGATTTATATTTAAAAGCAAATAATAATGATATGGTAGGAAATACACACCAAACAGGATGTGTAAATTATTATACAATAAGTATTGTGCAATAGCAAGAAATTTTCAATTGCACAGTATTGCACAATAGCAAGAAATCTTCAATTGCACAGTATTGCGCAATAGCAAGAAATCTTCAATTGCACAGTATTGGGCAATAGCAAGAAATATCCAATAGCACAATATTGCGCAATAGCAAGAAATTGTCAATTGTACAGTATTGCGCAATAGCAAGAAATATTCAATTGCACAGTATTGTGCAAAAGAATATACTTTGTATAAATTGCTTATTTCTTGATCAATTTCAATGGGGTTTTATTCTTGAATTCTTGGGGTTCTTTAATATGCTGAATCTAACCATGCATTAAGTTTTTGGATTTTGGGCCCTGTTTTTAAATTGGTCCACATTGAGGTCCAAAGGGTCCAAAATTTAACTTTGTTTGATTTCATCAAAAATTGAATTATTGGGGTTCTGTGATATGCCGAATCTAACCGTGTATTTAGATTCTTAATTTTTGGTTCCGTTTTCAAATTGGTCTACATAAAGGTCCAAAGGGTCCAAAATTAAACTTAGTTTGATTTCAACAAAAAATGAATATATAGGGTTCTTTGATATGCTGAATCTAACCATGTATTTAGATTTTTGATTATGGGCCCAGTTTTCAAGTTGGTCCAAATCGGGGTCCAAAATTAAACTTTATTTGATTTCAACAAAAATTGAATATATGGGGTTCTTTGATATGCTGAATCTAACCATGTATTTAGATTTTTGATAATGGGCCCAGTTTTCAAGTTGGTCTAAATCGGGGTCCAAAATTTAACTTTGTTTGATTTCAACAAAAATTTAATATATGGGGTTCTTTCATATGCTGAATATAACCATGTATTAAGTTTTTGGATTTTGGGCCCCGTTTTTTTCAATTGGTCCACATTGAGGTCCAAAGGGTCCAAAATTTAACTTTGTTTGATTTCATCAAAAATTGAATTATTGGGGTTCTTTGATATGCCGAATCTAACCGTGTATTTAGATTCTTAATTTTTGGTTCCGTTTTCAAATTGGTCTACATAAAGGTCCAAAGGGTCCAAAATTAAACTTAGTTTGATTTTAACAAAAATTGAATTTTTAGGGTTCTTTGATATGCTGAATCTAAACATGTGTTTAGATTTTTGATTATGGGCCCAGTTTTCAAGTTGGTCCAAATCGGGGTCCAAAATTAAACTTGTTTGATTTCAACAAAAATTGAATATATGGGGTTCTTTGATATGCTGAATCTAACCATGTATTTAGATTTTTGATTTTTGGGCCCCGTTATCAACTTTGTCCACATTGAGATCAAAAGGGTCCAAAATTAAACTTTGTTTGATTTCATCAAAAATTGAATTCTTGGGGTTCTTTGATATGCTGAATCTAACCATGTATTTAGATTTTGGATATTGGACCATAATAGGTGAATGTCCAATTTAAAATTTTTAAGTTCTTAGACCACATTCATTCTGTGTCAGAAACCTATGCTGTGTCAAATATTTAATCACAATCCAAATTCAGAGCTGTATCAAGCTTGAGTGTTGTGTCCATACTTGCCCCAACTGTTCAGGGTTCGACCTCTGCGGTCGTATCAAGCTGCGCCCTGTGGAGCATTTTATCTTAATTGTGAGTGATCTTTATGAATAAAATTGCAAAACATTTAATGATTAGTTTTAATGCAATTTTTCCCAAAGACAATTTTTTTTTTTAATTACAGAGTAGTGTGCATTATATCTTTTTCTTTACTACTATGGACATAGAAAATTAATTAATTCATGCTTGTAATTTAATGCAAATACCTAATCAGCTTCGATGATTTAGCTAATCAGCAAGAGAGTACATACTTTAATCTCCTGTAATCCTGTTTAATATTCATTAAATGAAAATTCTTTCAGAAATCTTTTATCAAATGCATTCAAAGGTGCACAACAACCAGTGTGTAAAAGATGAAAATGTTAAACTTTTTTGCAGTGATGAATTTTAACATGCTAACTCAATTATGTGTTTATGTAAATTTAAACTTATGTAAATGATGCTAATTAGAATCTCAATGCTTATAGTGATTTTAAAAGCTTAATATAGAATGTAAGTTGTCTAATGAATTTACTTCCAATTGTGAAACTATTACTGTCTGTCTGTGCTGAATGTTAAACGATTCAGGGATTTGCATATTTTTTCTACAGTTATGTGAATTTTGTCTTGTCAAACAAAGTTTGAGCTCCTCACGAGGCAGTTGCTTTCCACTTCAATCATAATTACCTAGGATTGCCAGTTTTCCTACCAAAGGTCGGTGGTTCTCTCTGGGCACTCTGGCTTCCTTCATCGATAAAAACTGGCTGCCAGGAAATAGCCAATAGTGCTCAAAGTGGCATTAAAACACCAAAAATCAATCAATCTATACAAACGTTCACTGTTGATATGGGCTTACAGTGGATTCAACTTGCACTCATGTTTTAGTTTTGATATTCCAATTCCTTTCTTTTATCATACTACAGTATTATACCCTTGAAAATAAGTTGGGCTTATATTTTTAAAGAAGCCAAATGTTAAATTTGTAATCAGGCAGAAGGGAGCTGCCTACAATTTGTGTAAAACACCACTTTCAGTAACTTTTGCTATTGTCATGGAGAACAGTTTTTATTGGAGCAGGAAGTGGAAGTACCTGGGGAGATCCTCTGAATTTTGGAAGAAAACACTAGGCAATCCTTAAAAATAAATATGGGAGTTGAACTGGTAGAGTAGATGGAAAATCTAAAAATCTACATGATCCGTTGTATGTGAATATTTGTTGGTTTTCAAAAGTTAAACTTATTTTAGAGATTTTATTACAGGGTAAGGTGAGATTTCTACAGACTTAAAGATTTTAGGAATTACTAATTGGATGGGATATGTCTGAAAGCTTTCTCTGTCTTTGGGCATGCAAGAGTAAAAATGAGCAGGAGTTCTCCCAATATTTCTTGGATTTCATTACCCCTGCCTGTTTTTATTTGAAACATCTCTAATGTAGCTAATTTGTGTTCAACAAAGTTGTAAAGGATTTGCAAAAACTTGTAGCATAACAATCAGACAAAAAAAAATATACAAATATGAGGTATAAATATTACAATGTAGTACTGGCTTTAAAAGCAATGCTAACTGTATTTGATACATGTATTATATATTCATTTCAGAGTGTAGAACAAGACAGTCAGAAACCACCAGAACATATTGATATCAAACTGGAAGCTGTGATGCCAAGAGTAAGTCCTTTTTGTCTCGCCTTGAAGGAGTCAAAAAGCGAGACATAGGTATGCTGTTTCCAGCGTCGGCTGCGGCGGTGGCATCAACAATGTATTAGTTTGTGATTAGGTCTAGTTCATAGTGAACCACTAGTGGTAGGTCAATGATATTTGGTATGCAGTTGTATTAGCATTGGCATATCTCATTACCATGGAGATTATTTGGCCCTGCCCCTTCAGTCAAGGTCTATTGACTTTGAAACTTTGCTTAGTTTACATGTATTAGTTTGTGATTAGGTCAGTTTATGGGGAACCACTAGTGGTAGGTCAATGATATTTGGTATGCAGTTGTATAAGCATTGGCATATCTCATTTCCATAGAGATTATTTGGCCCTGCCCCTCATTCATGGTCTATTGACTTTGAAACTTTTGCTTAGTTTTCATGTACTAGTTTGTGATTAGGTCAGTTTAAGGGGAACTGTTAGTGGTAGGTCAATGATAATTGGTATACAGTTGTATAAGCATTAGCACATCTCATTTCCATGGAGAATATTTGGTCCTTACCCTTCAGTGATGGTCTATTTACTTTGAAACTTTTGCTTAGTTTACATGTATTAGTTTGTGATTAGGTCAGTTTAAGATCAACCACTAATGCTAAGTCAATGAAATTCGGTATGCAAATGTATTGGCATTTGCAAGTTTCATTTCCATGGAGATTATATAACCCCACCCCCTAATTATGGTTCATTGACTTTGAAACTTTTACATAGTTTACAAGTTAATGTTTGTGTTTAGGTTTGTTTAAAGAGAACAACTTATGGCACATCTCATTTCCATGGAAATTGTTTAGCCCTGTACCTTCAGTCATGTTCATTGACTTTGAATATTTGCATAACTTACATGTTAAAGTATTGCTATTTTAATTTCAACATTTGCATTATCAAAATAACAAATAGGCGAGACATATCTCTGTGTTAACAGTTTATTTTGGTTAATAGACAATTACTTAAGTATTAGTGTATGGATCTCTATGAAATTGAAACACAAGGTTCCATACCAAAAAGGGAAGGTTGGGTTTGACTTTGGGGGTTATGGCTCAAACCGTTCAGGAATAAGGAGCAATAAGGGGGGGGGGGGAGGAACTAGGTTTTTCTGGTTTCTGGACAAATACTTAAGTATTTGTCAATGGATCTCTATGAAATTGTACCACAAGGTTCCATACCACACACAGAAGGTTGGGGTCGATTTTGTGGGTTGTGGCTTTAAACGTTAAGAAACTAGAGGCCAAATAGGGGCAAAAAACAAGACTTTTCTAATACTGGCTAAGCTGGTTCTAACATAAATTATTTCTGATCTATATAAAGAAACAACAAATACTGATATGAGAGGAGATACACACCAAACAGGGTGTGTAAATTATTATATTTAGTTTGTAAACAGATTTACTAAGTATTGCGCAACAGCAAAGTATTACACAACAGCAAGAAATCTTCAATTGAAAATAAATACAAATCTTTTAACCAATTTCAATGAAGATTAATTTAAAGTCTTGAATTGTTTGAGGTTTTTACCATGTATTACTATATTGGATATTTGGACATTTTTAAATAGGTCTACATTGAGGTCCAAAGGTTCCAAAATAATAGACTTTGTTTGATTTCATCAAAAACTGAATTCTTGTGGTTCTATGATATGCTGAATCTAACTGTGCATTCAGATTTTAAATTTTGGGCCCTGTTTTCAAATTAGTCCATATTAAGGTCCAAAGGGTACAAAATTAAACTTTGTTTGAATTCATGTTTTTTTTTTTTATATGCCGAATCTAACCATGGAATTAGATTTTGGATATTGGACCATTAAGTAGATTAAATGTCCCATTTCAAATTTTTAAGTTATCTGACCACATATATTCTGTGTCTGAAATCTATAATGTGTCAAATATTCAATCACTATCCAAATTCAGAGCTATATCAAGCTTGAATATTGTGTCCATATTTGCCCCAACTGTTCAGAGTTCCACCTCTGCGGTCGTATCCAGCATTTTTGTGATATGTAAAGTCTTTATCGAAAATGTTATTTATACCATTTTGTCAAAAAATGTACAGCCATGCTTTCATTTTTGGAGAGTTTTGTCCCTGATTTAAATTTTTTTACATTTAAAGGTGATAGTCTCTATTGATGAAAAACTGGGAACAGAATCAGACAGTCCAGCAGGGATGCAGATACAGATATCTAAACTAACTGGTTCCAATACACGTGTAGAAGAAGGAGATACTTTAAAGGACTTGTCTGATCTCATAAACACTTATAGTGGAGCCAATTTATTTAACAGTGATTCATTCCCAAACGATCAAAACAGTATTGTAACCATTCCAAAACATTTTGAAAACCATGCCAAGATGGCAGACAATGCATTTATTTGTCAGTATGCAAAAGACTTGCTCAGTCCAAAACTAACACTTTCTGATATATCCCCAGGAACTGAGATGGGCAAGAAAGCTTTATCTAAACTGCTGAACACTAATACATTAAAACGCAATGCTAATCTAGATTTTTGGAGTTTTACTGCAGATCAAGTTTGGATAGATTTTATTGGCATTGCTAAGTCTCGACCTCTACCATTTGTGCAAGCTGTACCATTGAAATTGTGGATATGTCGGCCATTGACTGTAGATCAATGGTTTAATACATCTAGTCATTTTAAACTTGTGCCAAATGAAAAAAAAGACAGTAGAACTTTGACAAGTCCAGAGCGTGAAATGCGCAAGGCAAGAATGCTTTTGAAGCAATACTATAATGAGGATAAGAAGTCGTGCAATGATGACCTAGATAGTAATAAAAACAGCCAATCTTGTGACAATTCAGAGGGGCAGAGCAATAGTACGGGTGCTGACGGGCAAGTGCAATCGAAATATTTATGTGATATCAATCTATTGGTTCATGTTGGTGGACCAATCAAAGCTCAGATGACTCATTTCCAGTATTTATGTTTACTACGTATCATGGACTCCTTTACAGTCTTTCAGTCCCAGTTAGCAGCAGATATGAATTATTTTGATCAAAGTTCAGCTGCTCCGGTGTTTAGGTTTGCAGTACCAATCATGGTTCATGAATTGGAATTTGCAATGATTTGTCCATCAATTGTCCAGACATTGCCTAGTACCCAAGTGGAATTATCAACAGATGATATATCTACCAATGATAGCAGTTCTTTATCAGAAGAAAAAAGTAGTTCCCAGCAGGCTGTTCAAGGTAAGATCAAAGGTCATATGCATGCTAATGCTCCATTCAAGAGGTATGATTGTTGTCTAATATAATTTCTTTAAATGCCAAAAATTTAGAAAATATTTGACTGTTATATGAGAAAAATGTTTAATAGAGGTAGACCTATTGTAAGCAACGATAAGGGACACAAGTCTAGAAAATACTATAAACAATGATTATATACAGACTTTGGCCAGACAAACCTATGAAATTAAATATCCACAAAAAGAAAAGTTTTCCTCAATCCTCGAAAATAAAGGAATCCAGTATTCTGAAAAATCTAGTTATATACATTGATGAAACTTAATTTTTATTAGAGTGTGCTATTCAAGTAAACCAAATAAGGGTAAACAATTCTGTAGTTTAAAAAAACTCTGCATTTAAGATTTTGTCTGTCAAGCATTGTATGAATATTCTTTTCTACTTGCAGATAATCAGAGTTTAGGTATTGACTTTTATCCAAATGAAGACGGCGCACTTCAAGTTCATCCTGTGATAACTAAATCTCTCAGTGATTCAACAATCCAATGTCACATGCTGGAGGGTAACATTCAAGGTCAAATACCAGAGATTGAAGTTACACAGAATCTAGCTATTTATTCAAACTCAGAAGTGAACTTGACCAGTCAAGGTCATAGTTACAGTTCTTCACGAACAAATGATTCAGGTTACAGTTCAGAAAACAAATTTAGGCCAACGACAGGAAAGGCAACTAAAATGAAGAAGTCTTTTGCAACAGCCATGTTTAGCTTGACAGACAAAATAAAAACTAAGATGGATCTTGCAGACGACAGCAGCTCAAATGCTGATGAGGATACAATGTCGATAAAAACTGATAATTCAGATGATGACCAGGATTTTGAATTGCTAACTTTTGATGAAAATGAGTTTCCAGTGTTCTCACATCATAAAAACAGATCAGAAACTGGGTCAGAAACAGACACTCAAGATGGCATGTCAACTATGGGAGCAGAACTGGATGCTGCTGTTGCTAAAGGGAGAGAACAGGTAACAATAAAAAGATGTATTGGCATCACAAATAACAAGAGACCAAATGAAATAGAAATTAACAACTATAGGTCACCGTATGACCTTCAACAATGAGCAAAACCATACCACATAGTCAGCTATAAAAGGTATATATTAATTATGTGCATTGCCCACAACTGAAAGGACTATCGAACTTCATACATATAATTCAAGTATCCCAATACTTTCATATTTTGATCAAATTATAGGACTAAATCTGTACAAAGAGCAATCCTACAAAAATGTTTTTGTGAAACAATTATCAGTTTCAATAATAAATACTAATTGTCACTCAAAAACTTATTATATGTTATATTTCATCTGGTCATGGCAGTTTAACTGTTCTCTATATATAGAATTGATGCAAGCCTGTTAGCAAATACTTTAATAAATCACTTTGCAGCCAAGTCAGATTGAAAACTTTAAAATTTGTATTTGCTGCTTTCTTGTTAAGATTGTGGCATGTTAAGAGTATTTTAGATTAAGGCTCAGAATTGTTAGTTTCAACACCCATGGTTGAAATGGGTATAGAAATATAGCCACCTGGAGTTCTTCTGTCGAGCAGTAAAATCCATGCTAAGAGGGCTTCAATTTGGCTGTGCAGGGTGAATAAATGTGTAGCCACTGCTTGAATGGGAACATTAAATCTGATACCCTTGTAGGGAGAAGTCAGTTCTCTCTATGTTAATGACCCCTTGCAACAACTCATTGAGTAGTCCACAGCTGTTCTGATGTAACTGCAAATTTTCTGCCCCCATCAAACATGTTTATTTTTTTAGTGGTAGTCCAGGTTTGCTGCCTTTCATCCAAGTCTACATTTTATATATATTGTAAATATTTTTTTTTAATTAAAGTAATCCCAATAATAAAAGAAAATTGCTCCCAAAAAAGAAACTTAATGTTGTTGTTACAATGTAAGACCCAATTTATCAAACAGGATATCACTAACATCATTCAATCGAAAATTGGAAGTTTTTTTTCTCTTGAAACATTTATGTAAATGTAACATTAAAGAAAGTTATGATCTAAGGCTAAGGGAATGTTTATGATTATAACTGAAATAGCTTGAAAAGAACTATATAAACTCTTAGAGATGACAATATAATGGCCTACAAACATTACAATATCACCCTTCATCTGACTTCACTATAGGTAAACATTATCAATTCCATACTGCATTGCTCAAGGATATTTTATTTGATTCTGATTATATTATTAATTTTAGAATATAAACTATTCTTTTCTAACATGTTGGAATGTAACTAAATATTTCATGTGTTTTCAGATTTCTGTGATACTATATAAACTGTGTCAGATTGAACTAATACTTCAAAGTGATGGACAGGATACTACAGCAAGGATACAGTCACAGAAACTCTTAACTACTCAGCCTGGCAACATGTGTTATGAAAACTTCTTTTCTACTTTTGTATCAAGGAAAGGTAGGTCAGAGAAACTCTTAACCACACAGCCTGGAAACGTGTTACAAAAACTTCTTTTCTACTTTTGTATCAAGAAAAGGTACACGTAGGTCAGAGAAACTCTTTTAACTACACAGCCTGTCAACATGTGTTACAAAAACTTTTTTTCTACTTTTGTATCAAGGAAAAGTATGTCAGAGAAACTCTTAACTACACAGCCTGTCAACATTTGTTACAAAAACTTCTTTTCTACTTTTGTATCAAGGAAAAGTATGTCAGAGAAACCTTGTGGTCACATCAGTTTGAAACTTAGTACACATGTTCATAATGATGAGAACTTACATGTAGTAAAATATATTCAAAATTAAAGTTTTGACCCAAATTTCACAGTTCAATGAACATGGAAATGTGATATTGTAACATCAGTACATTCTCAGGTTCAAGTTTTTAGTTACGTTAGTTTACCATCAAGTTGTTGTCACATCTACTTGAACTTCACGGTATGATTACATGTCACATCTACTTGAACTTCACGGTATGATTACATGTCACATCTACTTGAACTTCACGGTATGATTACATGTATTTTTTGGCAAGTGGAAAATTGTGTATTTGTATGTCATGATCAACAAACTTGACTTGACCTTGACCTTGAAAAATGAAAATTTATATTTCAAATTGTTCAGGTTTCATGCATACTTTGGCAGACAATACAGATGATACTTCTCAAGAATCCTTTCCTGTCAGATTCAAACTGGTTTCTGGACCCTCTGTACCAGAAGCTTGTCTACAGCATGGAATACCTAAACCTACAGTGGAAACAAGTTTAATGGACGTCAGGGCACAGAACTTTGGAATGAAGTTTACAATGTCTGGCCTCACTAGCATGATGACCTTTATTGAGGACACTGTCAGCTCTGTTGCCACACCGATGCATGTAGATGTTGACAGATTCTTGTTGACCTTACAGGTAATATAATGTTGTAGGATTTACCAATTAGCATTAAAAGGCAATGTTTTGAACTCCATGTTACATGTATTTTTATGCCCTCACTGCAGAGGAGGAGGCATTAAGTGTTACCCTTGTCTGTCCGTACATCTCAAAATGAGTTTCTGTTCTCTAACTTTAGTTAGCCTCAACCAAATGTTATAAAACTTATACGCAATGCTTATTACCACAGATAATGTTCGAATTTGGGTTGTGTAACTTTTACCATTCTTGAGTTATGCTCCTTTAGAACGTTATATGCGTGTGGGGGCATCATCTGTGTCCATGACACATTCTTCATTTATTTTATTTGCAAAACAAAAGTCACTACTTTTGGTGCACCAAAAAATCAAAATTAAAAAGAATTCAGTAGAAAAGAAGACTGGATACTTCTAAGAAAAGTTCAAAGAATCCTTATTTGATATAAAAATCAGGAGATGTGGTATAATTGCCAAGGAGACAACTGTTCACACGAGTCAAAATTAAGTGCATGTAAAGCAAATAAAGATCACTGTTTGTCACCTTTTGTTACAGCTATATTGTTGTTTTTCCTCAAAATCAGATGACAGAATTATGACACAAAATTTATGTGAAATACCCGAGGTCAGAGGCAAGGGTTCATAGAATCTCAATAGCATGTCTTTTGACCTTGACCTTGATTTTGAAAAAAGGTCCATCCGCTTTATATAGGAAACCATTTAAATAATAGTGTGATAACAATAAGACAAAACAGGAATGCTTTATTTTGCCTACAAGGATTTTCCATAATTTCATCCAACATTAGCCAATCTATTTTGATAAAAAGTCATCATGAACTGTAAAAAATATTTTATTCATAATGTTATTAACATTTTTATTATGGCAGGATGATGCAGTGCCAGTCATTCAGGATTCTGAGGTTCCTCCTGCTACAGAACTTATGATTAGTAGGCTAAAAATAACTAGAGGTCAGGACGGAGTTCTCCATCTCAAAGGTAATCCATTCTTTTTAACATTATTAAAGTATGTGTCTTATGACACACAACTTGTTGAATCTGTACAAATGACCGTGTGGTCACCTTAATGATCAGAGTGTAAACACAAATGTAAAACACAATTTTAATAAACTTAGGATTTCTTCTGCATATTTTAGAAACTACAGTAGAATGCTTTTGTATGCATGTGACCAATGATATGAATGTTCACACAGCAATTAGAAAGAAGAAATAGGATACTTCATGTTACTTTTTCAAAATATGTTCTACTCTGTTTGAAATACTATGAGGAAGAGAGGCAAAAGATAACTGAAGGGACATTCAAACTTGTAAGTCGAAAATAAACTGACAACGCCATGGCTAAAAAAGAAAAAGACCAACAGACAAACAACAGTACACAAAATACAACATATGAAAATACTTTTGTTTGTTGATACCAGTATTTGTTTTTACTGAAACATACACAAATCGTTTAAGACAACTTTCTTCTCTAAATTGATACATATTCAATAATCAACATAGTTAAAAGTACTATATGATGACGGAAAACGTTTCTGAGATATATTAGCACTATAGGTATAGTACATCAAATATGTCACTAACACTGGAGGGTAGCAGACAATTTTTAAACTTAAACTGTGTAAGCACAAATATGATGGACCCTGCGAACTGGGGTGAGACGAAATAATTGACGAACAGTATACATGTGAAACGACCTGGATTACTGGATACTGTGTCCTATAAATAACATCAAAACTACACCAGAAAGCAACTGTAATTTGTTAATTATGTCTACACAGACAACAAAAGGATCTGGACAGGTGAAATTTGTATACTCTACATGGTTTTATGTTTATAAGTTATGAATATAAAATCTATGTTTTGCTACACAGACAACAAAAGTATCTGGACAGGTGAAATTTGTAGACCCTACAAGGTTTTATGTTTATAAGATATGAATAAAATCTATGTTTTGTCAATGTTACATGATGCCTTCCCAAAGACTAGACTTGGTTATTTTAGAACTGTAGGCACTGTGCAGGTATAATGATAATAAGTATAAAAAAAACGGTATATATATAGTTTCGATTTTAAAGAATTTGACTGAAAAAAGTACTTGAATGCCAACACATTGATTGATTGTAGGTTGCTTAAAGTCCAGTGGCAAATATTTCATGCATGTTCAGGACGAAAATGCAGATACATCATCTGCACCAAGCACAGAGTATTCCATCATTTTACCCATTCAAATTATATGAAGTCAGCTATATATATAGCTATCAAATTAAACAACCATTACTAACGAATAGCATAAGAATTTTTATTTTACAACTGATTGGCTAGTAATTCAAATTTACCCGTTGTTGGCTGTGCTACTTTGTGGTTAACATTTTCCAGAAAAAATTGCCTACCTTTGATTAAGGATGTACACCTCTGAGGAACCAAAAATTTCTAGAATTAAACTTTTTTTCTTAAGCTGATTTTTGGGTTTATATGACTGTAAAAAATTAATTGGCGAAGAAAAAATCATATGGTGGTGCACTTCTTTTTTTGCTAAGGCCATTTGAAAGTACCTAATTCTGATGGTTTTCACATTTTTCATCAATTTTTACCCATTTTTTGGCTATTATCATGAAAAAAATCAGTTTCACAATTAAACTTTTTCTCATACTTTCAATAAAGATGAAGTGGACCAATCTGAATAAATTTAACTTAAAAAACTATAGGTAGGTGTTAATATAAGAAAGTTTTATAAAATTTTGTTGCTTTTTCGTGTCAAATTTACCATGCTGTCAATTTTGTAAATTTGGGATTTTTCTCTTTTTTTAGAACAAAAAGGATATTATTATAACTTAATTGTTAAAAATGATTGAAAATATACATATCTAAGAAATTTGAAAAGAAAAAAATGATATGGGATGTACATGTTTCTGGTAAAATCATTTCTTGTGCCTCTCACCCATTTTCTCAACATTTTGGCTAATGAGACTGAATTGATTGGTAATAAAATTTGAAAATTTTATTTCTCAAAAACTGCTTATTGTAAATACACAATTTTTTCACAGAGTTAAGTTTGATAATTATAATATTTTTTAAATTCATTGATATTTTCCACTTGTATCACATGTTTTGGAAATAATTCCAGAATGAGATTTCAACGTGACTGAAACGTCAGAAAAATATATACATCCTTAAATCAAGTTTCATTAAATTTTGCAGGTCAGACAAAAGAAGGAGACAATGGGGAGGAGGAAGCAGCAGAACACAAAGAAGATGCATACGTTGAAATGAATAATCATGCAGACGACAGCATTGTTCAAAAATTGAAAATGATTTCAGAAGAAAATAGGAACCTTAAAATTTTACTGGAAGAAATGTCACTGCAGAAATTGAAACTGCAAGAAAAAGTTAACACAATCTCTATGGAACTATCAACAAAATGTGACACTCTTCAAGAAGAGAACAAATCCTTGGAGGAACATTTAACGAAAATGTCACAGCTGACGAATTCTAAGATTGAAATGGGCATTAGTGCTATTGAGAATGAAAATTTAAAATTACAAGAAAAAGTTTTGTCTTTAGAAGATGAAGTGAAGCATATAAACCAGGAAAAAGAATCTTTGATCTCTACTTTAAAATTAATGCAAGATGAGTTGATGCAGTCAGAACAATTACACCATAAACGCACATTGTCAAATACTTCATAGCATAATACAGTTACATTCCAATAAGGAGAGTTTGTGTTTTTGGTTTTATTTATTTGGCTTTTCACTAATTTATCCATATCAGCTTCATTTATTATTTATTTTTGTACAGTATAGTAATATTCTAGCATGAAAAACTTTGAGTTAATTAACCCTACAAAAATTGGTGACAACAAAAATTGCTTTTCAATTTTTGTTTGTTTGTGAAAATCACACACATAAAGGGAGAAAAAGACTTCGACCATTTGTATATCAATTAACGAAGTTCTTTTTATTAGGCATGTGATGGATGATCTTGAAGAGACGAGTCCTTGTATAAAATCTTATCTATAAAACCACAAAATTGAATATCCACAATCAGAATTCCATAAAAGCAACCTTTTCTTAAAACTTTCTATCTAGAAAAAAAGCAAGAGAATGAGTTGGGGAAGGGGGACCTTTTGTCTAGAAAACTTATTTATTCACAAAAATATTAACAAGCGTAAAAATGAAACAAAATTATAATGGAAATAAAATAATGTATTAACTTTGGTTCACTGCATTTGGTCAAATCATCTGTTCTGTTGACCAGGATATTTTTTTCACTACATTGTAAATATAGCCACAACCAAACTTTATTCTAAGAGGGAACCTTAGCTACTTATATAACTAAATCTTTGCAGAAACCCTCATCATAGAAAAACACAGGTTTTATAAAAATGATAAATACATACATCATATACATAGTTTTTAAAACGAAAAAATAATATGCAATTTGTTTTACATTTAATATATAACTGTCACATGACTGTGTAAAATATGTAAACATAGTTAATCTTTTATTACTGTATTGATGTAATATGTAAATGTTGTGGTCTGCAAAAAGTAGTATTTGAGCTGCATCGGATAGAAGTTGACCTTAGTTCGAAATACATGCATTACACTATGACTGATTGGGAAATAAAATTCTGACATTTAAGGTCAGTGTTGATCTGAATTTTAAGATTCTTACAACATATCCAAATTTAGAAACGGTTGAAGCATTTGCATGGAAATTTCTCCATCAAATATAGCGGACTGCATGTATTTGTATTTATTTGCCTAAGGTCGATTACTATCTGACGCAGCTCATTTCTAAACCTTTCAGAACAAAAATATTTTTCCACTTTTTTTTATATCATATCTCAATCTGAATGTCAATATTTTTGTTTTGTTGTCTGTGTAATCATTTATTAATTTATTGCAATTACTGATTATGTTTCCAATATTAGAGATATATGCAATGGGAAACAAAGCCTTGATAAGAACTATATACCGGTACTTGACTATACAAACTAAATGGGAATAACGTGGCATATTGTGTTGGGTGTAACAATAATTTTGACTAAGTAAATGCATTACACATTTAACGTCACAGTACCCAAATTGCACCTATTTAGCAAAAATAGCTGCGGAAATCTTACTAGTTTTCTTAGAGACTAAACAATTTGTATTTTTATGATTTGTCATTATGCACGTCTTTCAGCATAGGTAAATATATTTAAATATACACAAAAGGTTCACAGTATATATCAACAGATGAAGTATTCACTGTAAAAAGTAAAATGTACGGAAACGTCGCCATACGATGTCCACAAAAAGTCATCTTTTAAAAATGAGCAAATAAGATATATTACAAGCATCCATTTCTTAAAAAAAGAATAGTAAGCATGGACTTATGTCAAATTGTTCTAAATATTTGAAGAAATAAAACAAAACATCTGTTATTCGATTTTTAAGGATGTGAATTTAAGCATGGATGCAATTTGGGTACTCCTAATTACAGAATCATGATGGATCTTTTGGAGATGTTCAAAGCCATTTTTCTATGATTCAATATGGATTCAAAATTAAATTGGTAGAACCATATAGTAAATAATGATACATCTACAAAATAAAAACTGAATGGAAACTTTTGTCTGGATCATAAATAAACGTAGGTGAAAAAACTATCAAAATAGGTGCAATTTGGGTATCCTCACGTTAGGGATCTTCTTTTACTTTGATGGTCCATATATTTTAGTGTTGGCCATTGGGGTTAAGTTGATAGTTAAGGTTAGATTTAAGGACAGGGCTAGTGTTAGTATTATGTTTAGGGTAAGGGTTAGTTATACCCCCAGTCATAGTGGGGGGCTATATTGCATTCACCCTGTAAGGGCTAGTGTGAGGGTAAGGTTTAGAACCATTTAGGGTTAGAGTTTATTAGTATAGCTCTATATGGGTTGGGACCCCTTAAGAAAAAATGAAAAATTCATAACAGTCTTTTTACCACCTTAAGGTTTGTATATCCAGGAATACAGTTTGTCATACCGAAGAGTTGTTTCAGGTTGTAAATAGTTCTAAAATTGGAAACAAAAGTCATTAATTGGAGAATGGACTTTTCTGAATTTGATTTTCATGCTTCAACCATATCAGCTGTCAGTAAAACTTGATTATAATCAGGTTGTATGTGATGGAAACTTTTTTTCTATATGTTCTGTTTATATAACTTATGCCACTTTTTCACATAAGAGTTTTTATATTTTAAGTCTTACAATATACCCTGACCATGAAGGAGCATCAGTCACAAATGAGAGCAAATATTTTCTATTTACATAATCATGATTAGTCACAATCATATTGTCCTCCCATAGTCATGACTTACTACAAAATATGACCTATCACTGGATTAACATGCCATTTTCAACTTAATAAGTTCCAGAAGTGGATCAGGAAATGTTACTCCACCAGAGAACATACATTCAACCCCCACTCTTTGGAGTTCATATTGCTTAGTCTGTTATTTTCTGTGTGATTGTTTGTGGATCATTATTTGTCTTTTGCCTGTGGAACCTTGTGACTTTTTTCATATAGCTTTTGTATTTTCTGTCTCCCTTTAAGTTTTGATTGTTGTTGATCTCATGGTCTCCTTCCTTTTCGTTTATTTATACTGAAGATTCATTATTAGTCATGGGATACCAATTTTTGGTGGATTTCGTGGGTTATGGTGAACTTTGAATTTAAATGGTCAACGAAATACATATTTTCCAAAGGCTTGTTTGCAGATTTTTGCAAAACCAGGAAATCAAATATCCCAAAACATACATTTTTTCCTCAATCCACGAAAATTGGTACCCACGGAAATAAATGAATCCACAGTATCTGTTAATTGTCAGCAGCGAAAAAAGTATAACAAAAATAACGAACTCCAAGGTAAATACAAAAAGAGTAGGTCCGTAAAAGCAAAAATATGTTTTCCCCAACTAAAATATCAATTAGTACACATCCAACAGATTAATTGTAAAGCATTCATAAACAGTGTAAGAAAAGTATGACCTTGTGCAATACAAAAAACAAGTATCAACAGGATGTAGGATTATAAGATTTCATAACTATTGTCATGATAAATAATATAATAGGACTTACCAGTATCTCATATGCTGCTCAAATATTATTTGTTAGTAGTTATTTAGAGGTCTCATATTTATGTTATCTGTGATATTTTGGTTTTAGGCAAAAGGCATTAATGTTCAAGTTCTCATGTTTCTAGGCTGGGTTTTCTTTTGAAAATAATGTATGTTATAAATGTGGAAATGCTTTTCCACCTAATTTCAAATGATTTTCTTCAGTGCTTATATGTGACACTGTAGGATAATTGCATTGGTATTGGTGAATAATTTCCAAGATGAACTTACCATAGTAAGTTATTCAAAGATTTAAAAAGATTTATGGACTGTCTATAATTCTGAAAATGAAAAAGAGTTTTTCTTCTACAATATCTTGGAAGGGCAGTAGCACTCAGAAGAAATGTAGTCCTTCAGTTTGAAAGACCATAGATAAGCTGTTTATCTCTATATCCTAGGCAACCTCGATGATGTTTGGCTTGTGACGTCTTCACATTCTCACTATACTTGACTGAGTATCTTGTGATGGAAAATTATTATACAAAAAGATTAAATGAAAGTTTAAGAAAATGATGATAATAAAATGATTTTGAACTGATCAATGGCATCATTATATTATACTGCATGCAGATATTTGGAGAAAAAGGGTACCCTTATTCTATTTTGCTCTTCCTTGCTGTCAGGAAAAAAACTCATGGGTAATAAGTTCTGATGTTACAGATTCGCAGGAAAACAAGAGAAATGTGCAAACACGAAGTAGTACTTTTTCACTGCTTTTATTGAATTGTGATTTCAAATGAAAATGAAAACTATTGTTAGTTTTTGTTTATAATTATATGCCATAGAAATTCAAAACCTCAGTATATATTTTTATAATTATGTATGGATTTATGTATCTTTTTACCAATAATCATTTTTATTATGCCCCACCTAGGGGCATTATGTTTTTCAGTCTGTTTGTCCGTTCGTTCGTCTGTCTGTTCGTTTGTTCGTCCGTCTGTCCCGCTTCAGGTTAAAGTTTTTGGTCAAGGTAGTTTTTGATGAAGTTGAAGTCCTATCAACTTGAAACTCAGTACACCTGTTCCCTATGATATGATCTTTCTAATTTTAATGCCAAATTAGAGTTTTGACCCCAATTTCACGGACCACTGAACATAGAAAATGATAGTGCGAGTGGGCCATCCGTGTACTATGGACACATTCTTGTTCATCCTAAATACACATGATTTTGGTACAAAATTCATCTTCTAAGTCTAGGAAGTTCTTCTATTTATAAGCATTTGTTTTAATCTTTCTAAAAAAAATTCATTTAGAAATTATGGTAGTTCAAGTGTGATTTGTTAAATTTATCATTTATAGCTATTATTGTTACAGGTATGATAAATGAACAGCAATAAACACACTGTTCCTTTGCTTTTTTTGTGTGTGTTTTTTTGCTTTGAATGTACTGAATTTGTGTCATGGGTGGATACCCCATATCCTTTGTTTTCCTATCAATTGTAATGTTTGACACTATTTGCAATGTTATTTTGATCTTTCATCCAAAACATAAGTTGGATATCTTCGCAAATTGAGAAATTTTAAAGGTGTAAGAAAGTTCCATTTTATCCCCCTTTTATTTCGCTGAATTTGTTGGTTTGTGAAATGATCTCTATATTTCATAGCATTACAATTCCATTAGTTATATGTACTATGTACATTTAATTTGAAAAACTTTTTCTCATGTCCAACATGTTAGTTTGATGTAACAATTTATGAACAATTTATAATTTGATGTAAATATCTTAATTGTTAATTTTCTTAGTTATTCATAATTAGCTGTTGCTGCTTAGTGATTGCTGAAATAAGTTTTATAAATGAGTGCTAGTCTGAGTTAGATAGATTGATTAATTGATTGTTGCTTACTAAATAGTGTGTAGTTAATATATCATGCATATTCATATTGAAGGAAAAAGAATTGTGTTGTTAGCAAAATTCACATTACATCGAAGTTTGAAAAATATTTACCAGGTACATCAATTCAATACTTAACATTCCAGACAAAGGACTAGTGGTACATAAAAATTCATAAATATGTAGATCATTTTTTTATAGACGATATTTAGAAATTTCTTTTTCACCAATTAAAAAAAATTTGTGCCAGGAAAACAGAAGTTCTTTTTTTAATTTACAATGTCGCAGTTTGAAAATCAGTGTCCAGGGAAGTTGCAAAAGGTTTTGGCAACAGCAGAAGTAAAATTCTTGTTTTTTATGCCCCATCCGTAGCGGAGGAGGCATTCAGTTTTACCCTTGTCCGTCTATACGTATGTACGTCTGTCCGTCTGTACGTTCCAAAATTGGTTTCCGTTCTCTAACTGTAGTTTGCCTCAACCAAATGTTATGAAATTTATACACAATGCTTATTACCACAAAACACAGATGAATGGTGGCGTCAATTTTACCGTTCTAGAGTTATGACCCTGTACAAATGGAAAAAATGCTGAATTTTTCGTTTCCATTCTCTAACTTTAGTTTGCCTCAACCAAATGTTATGAAACTTATACACAATGCTTATTACCGCAAGACACAGATCAATTTTGAATTTTGGTGGCGTCACTTTTACAATTCTAGAGTTATGCCCCTTTACAAATGGAAAAATTGCTGAAATATTGGTTTCTGTTCTCTAACTTTAGTTTGCCTCAACCAAATGCTATGAAACTTATAAACAATGCTTATTACCACAAAACTCAGATCGTTCAAATTTTGGTAGCGTCACTTTTACAGTTCTTGAGTTATGTCCCTTTATAATGTGATATGCAGGCAGGGGCATCATCTGATGGGTCACATTCCCCATTTATTTCATTCATATAAAGAGTACCACATAATTTTAGATATAGTTGTTAACCATGCATGGAAAGAGTTCATCTAATTAAACATTTATTTGAACAAAATGTAATCAAATCATTATTAAATAAGTGATTTGACTGGACATATTTGATTTGATTTGCATACCTGTTTATAGTGTAGGCATTGACAATTACATGTATTTAAAACAAATGTCAAGGTTGCTTTATGCATGATGGTTTGCTGTGCTTATTTCTTTTGAAAGAATAGTCCTTAGTTTTGCAATGGGTATTGTACCATTTTTGTAAAAAGGTTTACTTTATTCAATTGTATATGTAAAGCTCTTATAAAAACAATTTTTTTATTTGTTGGTTATTCATAATATAGTTTCAAAATTTCGTCTACAGGATATTTCTACCTGTATTCCACCAACAGTTCTATTGTATGTTTGAAATACAGTAAAGAAAAATCTCAGCCATACTGTAATTTTGTTTTATTTACAGTAGTTGAATTTGAACTCTAAAGCATATTATGATCATTTCACCATTATTCATGTGTATGTTACATTTTCATATACTATAAACTCAGAAATGATGTTTTTGTTATTGCCAAAATTGTTACGGGATTATAGGTTTCGCAAAAATAAAATCTTGCATTTTAAATTTTGATAGCATTATTTGATTGTAGCATTTCATGAAGTCACATTTATTGATTTCACATTTTGGTCAAATTTTCAACAATTGCAATGATAAATTTAAGTAAACATTTCTGAATTTACAGTATATGTTGTACCATCATATTGATGTTTTTAACATGACTTTGCTGCATTTTCATATAAAGTTTACAGTATTGGTTTTATTAGGATTAAAATGATTATTCTACATTTGAGTTAGTTTTTATCATACATTCTTTATCAATTTTTCAGAATTCAAAATTATTTAAAATTCAAATAATTCCTTGTTTTAAAGTTATTATGGATTCATGCTGAGATTTTTGATGGTGAACAAACCTTTTATTAAAAATCATATTCCATATTTACAAGGGTGTCTATGTTTCCAGTGTTCTGTCAATGCTTGTACAATGAAATGGTTCATTTAGAAACGAAAAGCTCTGAGAAACAAAGCATTACAACTGGAATGACTCATCTGTATTATATGTTGAGGCTAATATGATTAAGAAATCCATAACTTTATAGTGTTATATGTATACATTTATAGAGGCTCATAATAGTTTTCATTTATGCATTGCTTGCTTTTGTTTGCTTTTTATATAATTGTTTTCTTTGTTATTTGTTAATTTCTAGTCTCATTTATTATATGTATTATGCAATTATTTATATGCTTGTCTTTTTTAAGTGGCAGTCTGACAGAATCTGGCACTGTGAAATCTTTTTTTTTTTTTGGGGGAGGGGGGGGGGGGGGATGAGGGTTCTGGAATTCACAATAATTAAGAATATGCAAAAAAATCTTATATTGTTATTGGTGTTATTAGACCTTGAAAAGAATCAGATATCTTACAGTCCTGACACTGTTCAAGATTAAAATCGTCTGTTCGTTTATTTTTCAAATTGTTACTTTTATTGTTATGGGCAGATTCTTTTAGATAATTTAGTAAATGAGTTGTCTATTTATGTTATTTGTTCAGATATTTGATCTCAAATGGTGAATTATGTCTGTTTCATATATTAAATGTACCTTATACCCAAAAACTAAATAAATTGTCATGTATTTCTGCAAACTAACTACAACAAACAAAATGTAATTTAAAAGGTATTTGTGCAAAAACTATATATCAACAACCTTCATGAATGTATGAAAGATTAAAACTGTTTTGTTTATCACTTACAGATAATTTTGCTGTGAAGTAGTCTAACTTGTTATTAAAAACGATAAAAAAAATTTAATATAGCATAAAATAACAATGAAAGTTAAAAGTAAAATACTATCAGTGTGATCTTTAAAGCAGCAGTATCTTCAGTTTTCACCAAAAAATAGGTTGACATTTTTTTCAGGAATATAGTACATTCGGTTTATAAAATACAAAAAATATGTGTTTTGACCCCAATTTAAAAGTTTTTTTCACAATAATTTATTTTTTTTTGCAAGAAGTTGAACTTTTATTGGTCTGACAAAATTTTCTTTGAAACCTGCCCATATTCATATAACTGAATAAAAGAGCAGGTCTACATAGTTCTATTTAATAATAAGATGTGTTACCCAAACAACATTGAAATCTCCTAAAAACAGAAAAAAAGTGTAGTATTAGCCTTAGCTAGACATGCCAGAAACTTTCTTTATTAAAGGGAAACCATGCTACCGGTGATGGGTTTAAAGGCCTGAATGAACTTGTAACATAACAAAGCTGAAAAAGTCTAACAAGCATGTGAAAAATCAGATTTTACCTATAAACAAATGTGGTCAGCCTAAAGGCCCATTAAAGGGTACACAACAGAATAAAACGTAGAAAAACAGATTTGTTATTGAAAGTACTGTTTGACGAAAGCTTTTTAAATTTTAGATTTTACCACAATACACCCTTAATCAAATTGAATTTTTTTTTTGCATTTACAGTTAAAGAATTAAGTAAGTTTTACTGACACTAAACCTTTATATGTAACTTTGGTTTGCCATCTAAGAAACTGAACACAAGAAGAATGTGTTTCAATACTTTTATGATTGACAGTTTTAGAAACCTTTGATGTGAATAGCATGCTTCCTGATATATAAAATATTATACAGTAAAGTCAGGTTTAAGTTTTTAATCAGTCTATAATTAAGAAATTATTCATGATATTGTATCAGTTTTGTATATGCCAATCAATTTAAAATTGAAAGATTTCTTTATTATTTATAGTGCTTTGTTTTGTTGATTGTTGTACCAGGATTTGTGCCACCATACATAATTATGTTATAGGTATAGAAATAAATTTTTCACCTTTACTTCATCTTGTTTTTTATACGACCAAAAATTTTTTGGCGGTATATTGGTATCACTTTGTAGTCGCCGTCAGCGTCGTCCGAAGACAGATGGTTTCTGGATAATAACTTTAGTATAAGTAAATAGAAATCAATAAAATTTTAACACAAGGTTTATAACTAGTAAAGGAAGGTTGGGATTGATTTTGGGGGTTATGGTCCCAACTGTTTAGGAATTAGGGGCCAAAAAAGGGGCCCAAATAAGCATTTTTGTAGTTTCCAGACAATAACTTGTGTTAAAGTGTATGAATCTCTCTGAAATTATACCACAAGTTTCCATACTACAAAGGGATGGTTAGGATTGACTTTGCGGGTTTATGGCTCAAACCATTTAGGAATTAGGGGCAAAAAAAGGGGAAAGACAAGGGTTTTTCTGGTTAAAGGACAATTGAGACAATTTAAAAGCAGTGTAAGGGAGGTTATCCAAATCAAAATCCAAATCAATATAAATAACAATGTTATTTCGGGTCAATTCGCATAGTGTATTGCACAAAAGCAAAATATTGAATATAAATTCAAATCATATAACCAATTTGAAGTTCTTTGACTACAGTTATTCTGTGTCAGAAACCTATTACGTGTCAAAAATTTAATTACAATCCAAATTCAGACCTGTATCAAGCATGAATAGTGTGTCCATTTTGGCCCCAACTTTTCGGGGTTGGACATCTGCGGTCGTATACAGCTGCGCTCAGCGAAGCAATTTATTCATATTTATATTCACCTGAAATGCCAGCGGATGCAGTACCTATGTGCTTTTTGTCTACTGTGACAAAAGTTGCATAATGCAAAACATAGGGGATTACTATCCTGCAGCACCGATGTAAACTATTTGTATAAAGCTTTTTCAGAGGGTAGAAGATCTGGAGGCTTCATACCTTTCATAGAGATGCCTTATTTTACAAAGTTTCCGTCTGTCATATGTTTGTTGTCCTTGATCTCATTTTCATGGTTCAGCGACTAATTAGAATTTAGTTTTTAGCTCACCTGGCCCAAAGGACCAAGTGCACTTTTCTTATCACTTGGTGTCCATCGTCGTCCTCATCCTCGTCTGTTTAACTTTTACAAAAATCTTTACCACCGAAACTACGGGTCCAAATGTAACCAAACTTGGCCACCATCATCATTGGGGTATCTAGTTTAAAAAAGGTGTCCGATGACCTTGCCTTCAAACAAGATAAGTCGACATGGCTAAAAATAGAACATAGGGATAAAATTCAAGTTTTATGAAAATAAGGAGATGTGGTATGATTGCCAATGAGTCAATTATCCACCAAAGTTCCAATGAAGTGGATGTAAGCAATTATAGGCAACTGTACAGCCTTCAACAATAAGAAAACCCATACTGTATAGTCGGCTATACAAATAAGGGCCTAATTTATAACAAAATTTACAAAAAGCAAATATGACACACATGAACCAACGACAACCACTTGACTTGGGACAGGCACATAAAGAATGTGGCAGGGTTAAACATGTTTGTGAGCGCCCAACCCTGCTCTAACCTGGGACAGAGGTGTTATAGCACAACATAAGAATCAGTTGAAAATGGCTATTTTTTTTTGGAAAACCGCTATAAATAAAGAAAATCTGACAGGGGGCAAACATGATGTAATTGTTGAGCTCTACATATTGTCCATTTAGTCAAAACTGTCAGATGACTTCTTATAGGAGCTGTTGCCCTTGAATGATGAATTTTACCCGTTTTTTAATTTTTTGCCTTTTATCTCGAAAATTATAATAGATGGAAACAAACTTTATTTAGCAAAACTGATCAGCAAGACAAGATCTACCAATTACTCCACATGACCAAAATCAGTAGTTGCCATTTAATGAGATTTTTTACCAATTTTTTTGCGTTATTGCCTAATATCTTGCAAACTATAATATATTGATAGAAACTTTAAAAGCAATAATGATTTATAAGACAAGCTCTACAGATAAGTCAACATGACCAATATCTTTAATCGACTCCTTATTATAGTTCTTGCCTTTTAATGACGATTTTCCCCTTTTTTCCCATTTATGCCTGTTATCTTGAAAACTGTAATAGATGGATAGAAACTTTAAATAGCACAACTGATTAGCAATACAAGATCTCAAAATAAACTGTATGGCCGAAATCGTCAGTTGATTTTTATGCCCCCACCGCTCGGCGCCGGGGCATTAAGTGTTACCCTTATCCGTCCGTCCGTCCGTCCGTCCGTACTGTTCGTTCCGTACGTCCCGAAATTGGTTTCCGTTCTCTAACTTTAGTTTGCCTCAACCAAATGTTATAAAACTTATACGCAATGCTTATTATCACAAAATACAGATCAAGTTCGAAATTGGGTGGCGTCACTTCTATCGTGCATGAGTTATGCCCCTTTATAAATGGAAAAATTGCTAAATCTGTCGTTTCCGTTCTCTAACTTTAGTTTGCCTCAACCAAATGTTATGAAACTTATACACATTGCTTATAATCACAAAAAACGGTCTCAATAACGTGAATCCTGCATCTGTATGTGGAAGATGACTCATGCATATTTACAAGCGGGGGCATCTGTGGCCCATAGAAACATTCTCCATTTATTTTTGTCAACATGACTGTAATTTTCAGTTAACTCTTAATATAGTTATTTCCCATTAATGATGATTTTTACTAAAAAGTGGCTATTGTTGAAGATGCAGGTGAGCAACCAAGGCTCATTAGCGCCTCTAATTTTGTCATGTGAATTTTTCTTGCAAGGAACCCATATAACAAATATAGTTATCCTATTACTCATTATGAGTGAAAAATTCACATGACAAAACTAGAGGCGCTAATGAGCCTTGGTTGCTCACCTGCATCTTCAACAATAGCCACTTTTTAGTAAAAATCATCATTAAAGGGGAATATCTCTATTAAGAGTTAACTGAAAATTACAGTCATGTTGACAAAAATAAATGGAGAATGTTTCTATGGGCCACAGATACCCCCGCTTGTAAATATGCATGAGTCAACTTCCACATACAGATGCAGGATTCACGTTATTAAGACCGTTTTTTTGTGATTATAAGCATTGTGTATAAGTTTTATAACATTTGGTTGAGGCAAACTAAAGTTAGAGAACGGAAACGACAGATTTAGCCATTTTTCCATTTATAAAGGGGCATAACTCATGCACGATAAAAGTGACGCTACCCAATTTCGAACTTGATCTGTATTTTGTGGTAATAAGCATCGTGTGTAAGTTTTATAACATTTGGTTGAGGCAAACTAAAGTTAGAGAACAGAAACCAATTTTGGGACGTACGGGACGGACAGGACGGACGTACGGACGGATAAGGGTAACACTTAATGCCCCCGGCGCCTAGCGGTGGGGGCATAAAAATCAACTGACGATTTCGGCCATACAGTTTATTTGTAGATCTTGAAATGCTGATCAGTTGTGCTATTTAAAGTTTCTATCTATCTATAACAGTTTTCAAGATAACAGACATAAATGGGAAAAAGGGGGAAAATCGTCATTAAAAGGCAAGAACTATAATAAGGAGTCGATTAAAGATATTGGTCATGTTCATGATTAGGCAAAAACGCAAAAGAATTGGAAAAAATCGTCATTAAAGGGCAATAACTCTAATAAGGATTTGACTGAAGATTTAAGCTATACTACCATATTTGGATATTAGGCAATAACGCCAAAAAATTGATAAAAATCTCATTAAATGTCAATTACTGATTTTGGTCATGTGGAGTTATTGGAAGATCTTGTCTTGCTGATCATTTTTGCTAAATAAAGTTTGTTTCCATCTATTATAATTTTCGAGATGAAAGGCAAAAAATTAAAAAACGGGTAAAATTCATCATTCAAGGGCAACAGCTCCTATAAGAAGTCATCTGACAGTTTTGACTAAATGGACACTATGTAGAGCTCAACATCTACATCATTTTTGCCCCCTGTCAGATTTTCTTTATTCCTAGCGGTTTTCCAAAAAAATAGCCATTTTCAACTGATTCTTATGTTGTGCTATAACACCTCTGTCCCAGGTTAGAGCAGGATTGAGCGCTCACAAACATGTTTAACCCTGCCACATTCTTTATGTGCCTGTCCCAAGTCAAGTGGTTGTCGTTGGTTCATGTGTGTCATATTTGCTTTTTGTAAATTGTTTTGTTATAAATTAGGCCCTTAGTTGTAACGCCGACTATACAGTATGGGTTTTCTCATTGTTGAAGGCTGTACAGTTGCCTATAATTGCTTACATCCACTTCATTGGAACTTTGGTGGATAATTGACTCATTGGCAATCATACCACATCTCCTTATTTTCATAAAACTTGAATTTTATCCCTATGTTCTATTTTTAGCCATGTCGACTTATCTTGTTTGAAGGCAAGGTCATCGGACACCTTTTTTAAACTAGATACCCCAATGATGATGGTGGCCAAGTTTGATTAAATTTGGACCCGTTGTTTCGGTGGTAAAGATTTTTGTAAAAGTTAAACAGACGAGGATGAGGACGACGATGGATACCAAGTGATAAGAAAAGTTCACTTGGTCCTTTGGGCCAGGTGAGCTAAAAACTAAATTCTAATTAGTCGCTGAACCATGAAATGAGATCAAGGACAACAAACATATGACAGACGGAAACTTTGAAAAATAAGGCATCTCTATAAAAGGTATGAAGCCTCCAGATCTTCTACCCTCTGAAAAAGCTTTATACAAATAGTTTACATCGCTGCTGCAGGATAGTAATCCCCTATGTTTTGCATTATGCAACTTTTGTCACAGTAGACAACAAGCACATAGGTACTGCCTCCGCTGGCATTTCAGGTGAATATAAATATGAATAAATTGCTTCGCTGAGCGCAGCTGTATACGACCGCAGATGTCCAACCCTGAAAAGTTGGGGCCAAAATGGACACACTATTCATGCTTGATACAGGTCTGAATTTGGATTGTAATTAAATTTTTGACACATAATAGGTTTCTGACACAGAATAACTGTAGTCAAAGAACTTCAAATTGGTTATATGATTTGAATTTATATTCAATATTTTGCTTTTGTGCAATACACTATGCGAATTGATCCCCCCCCCCCCCCTTTCCCCCCAAAAAAAATACCCTGTTTTTTTTGCGTTTGTGCAATACCCTATGCTGTTGAATACTAACCACCCAAAAAAAAATATTGAAGAAATTTTCTTTTAATTTCTGAAATCTGAAATGAGAAAAATTGTCCCTCTCCAATTTTTTTCACCTCCCCCTTTCCCTTATTCCAAAAAATAATTCTTTCCCTCAAGTTATGGTCAGTATCGCAATATATATCTATAATTGTAGTTTTCAAGATAGTAGGCAAAAATGGAAAAAAGGGTTAAATTCGAAATTTAAGGGCAATAAAACATATAAAAAGTGGTCTGACAGTTTTGATGTAAAAAGACAGTAAGTAGATCTCAACAATCTGAACATTTCTGTCGTCAAATTATCTCTTTTGATGACAGTTTTCTAGATAATAGACAAAACATACATTTTACCTCTATATCATATATATAACCATATTGGCCATGTTGGTTGGCTGGCGTGGTCATCGGACACATTTTAAACCAGAAACCCCGATGATGATTGTGGCCAAGTTTGGTTAAATTTGGCCCTAGTAGTTTTTAGAGAAGAAGATTTTTGTAAAAGTTAACGAACGATGATGACGACGACGACAGACGACGGACGACGGACGCCAAGTAATGAAAAAATCTCGTTTGGCCCTTTGTGCCAGGAGAGCTAAATATAAATTAAAATAAGAGAATTGTTTATATAACTCACTACTTTTTCTTAAAATGTCCTGTACCAAGTCAGGAATATGGCAGTTGTTATCACATAGTCCGTTTCTATGTATGTTGGCGTTTGTTTTTGTAGCAGTTCAGTGTTTCTGTTGTTCCGTTTTGTTTCCTCTGATAGTTGATGTGTTTCCCTCAGTTTTGGTTTGTGACCCGGATTTGTTTCAGTTAAATCGATTTATGACTATTGAAAAGAGGTATACTACTATTGCCTTTATTAATATATTTCGACGCATCCATTTTTTTAAATTTTTTTTGGAGTTCATGCAATTCCCTCAGTTTTAGTTTGTAACTTTGATGTGTCTTAATCTTATGAAATTGGAACTTTGATACACTATTGTTGCCTGCAGTGATTTAACAATAAGTGAGGACAAGGCCGAATTGTTTGTGACTGTCATACAAGTGAGAGGTTTAGCTAGCTATAAAACCAGGTTTAATCCATCATTTTTTACATAAGGAAATGCCTGTACCAAGTCAGGAATATGACAGTTGTTTTCCATTCGTTTGATGTGTTTGAGCTTTTGATTTTGCCATTTGATAAGATAACTTTCCGTTTTGAATTTTCCTTGGAGTTCGGTTTTTTTTGTTATTTCACTTTTTGAAGATATATATGACAGAAACAAATAGTTTTCTTGAACGAAAGAAAAACTTCTAGTATATTTGAAACAAAATGAATTTAGCAAGTCAAAGGATAGCAGTTTCAAAGTAACTTAATTGTACATAAAATCCTTACAGAACAAACAGAAACTTATTGGTGATCTTTAAGTTTGCTTAATTATACCATACGCACATACGTACTATTCGATCTCTTTCATTTGAATTATAAAGGTCATCTTATTATTATTGTAATCAATAAATAAGACCGAAAAGATGTAAATGAAACTTTTAATGATTATTTATTTTCTTCAAATCTGCAATCGGTGTATTAGTTAAAGTTGAAGAGAGTGCTCAATCGATGAATCCTTTTCTTTATTTTCCCATTCCCATACTTGCTAGGGTACGAAATTCTGAAATAAAAACAACTGATGTTAATGATCTGTTTAAAAAATAATCTGTTTGATTTTATTTATTAACCTATTCCAAAAATAAAAAAAACAAACAAACAAACAAATGTTGTATATATATATTTCGAATTAATAAATGTTTTACTCATTCGCCACAATCCCATCCTTTTTTCTCGATTATGATATTACCGACTACGATTTATCAACGAAGTTTTTCTTGACCATGAGCAACACGACGAATGAAGGAACTGCTAACCAAAGGTTCCCCAATAGTTTCGAATGGGTGGTTTTTTTTTGTTTTTTTTTTGTAATGAAAAAAGAGGCGAAGGATACCAAAAGGACATTCAAACTCATAAGTCGAAAAAAACTGACAACGCCATGGCTAAAAAAGAAAACAACGAAAAGACAAACAACAGTACACAAAACACAACATAGAAAATCAAAGACTGAGCAACACGAACCCCACCAAAAACTGGTTGTGATCTCAGGTGCTCCGGAAGGATAAGCAGTAGTGTTGTCCTTTCGTCGTATGTCTTTTTGTCATAATGTTGTCGTTTTTTCGACTTAAAGTTTTCGGTTTTGTTCCTCATGTTTTTAGGTATCCGACATCCTTGGGATTCAAAGATTTGAGTTTAAGCGTTCCTGGATAAATCCAGAAAAGCGCTTCGCACGCACGACATTCATAAAGTGTCCTTTTTTTTATAATTGTTAAAGCTAGATTGATATGAATAAAAATGCATTTTGGATATATGTAAACATCTCGGCATTCAAACGACAAATATGACAAGCACACAGGCCGTAGAAAAGGCGATTAAATTCGTTTTCGGATTTATGCTTATTTCAAAAGAATTCATCTTTCTAAAAAAAGATGTCGACCTCTGAAACCAGACATTCCCTTTAATAGCCTTTAGTTTACAGGACAGTACACTTACCTCCAATTTCCAATTGGTTATTTCCGTTTGTATCAATAAGAGTCATGGCTTGGTTGAACATAGTTAACCACTCGGATTTGCTGTATGAAAGACCAGGTATATCAGCATTAGCATAAAAAGTAGAAAATTCTTCACCACTGATGTGATTATTGTTGTCAGTGTCAATCCACTGAAAAGCCATTTGTACGGAATCCATTCTCTTTTCAATTGTTCTCTTGTTTACCATCTATAATACACAATCCAAAAAAAAATAAGAAAAAAAAACTTTTGTGTATAATATTTTAGTGTGCATAACACGAGTAATTTGAATTATCATCATCAGTTCAAGAAGACCAAACAAACAGCTATATAACAGTGGAGGGAAGGACGTTCAAGTCTTTTTCGTTTGTGAAAGTAAATAGAGCATATAATGAATCTGTGATTGATCAAGATTCATACTAAGTAATTGTCGTTTTGGTATAAGCTAAATTTGAATTCAAATACATCAATAGATATAGACATGTGTTTAACAACCGTTGAGACTTTTATCTATCATGAATAAGCAATGAAACCGCTATGTAAAGAGCCATTTTCCCTCTCAAAATTACAACCAAATGATAAAAGTAAAATAACAAAAATACCGAACTCCACGGAAAATTCACATCAGAAAGTCCTTTATCAAATGGTAAAATCAAAAATTCAAACACATCAAACGAATGGAAAACAACTGCCATATTCCTGACTTGGTACAGGTATTTCCTTATGTAGAAATGGTGGATTAAACCTGGTTTTATAGCTAGCTATTCAATCGTAAACATTGATATACATTTGACTTAAAATTACCATTTAACACATGTCGTTTCGTAAGACTCAATATGTGCAGTAACTTTAGAATGATGCCTCACGTACAAAAATATTTGTGATAGCCACTTCATCACAAAGCCTCTTCATGTAAGTTTAAATACGCTCACTTCAGTTAAAATGAAATCACGAAAATAAAACCATGCTGACATTTTTGTCATGCTTTCCGGCTAGTACATACCGACCTCCCGATAAAGAAACAAACTAAACAACATGTCATTTAACGTGTACGTACAGAAGTAGTTTTTCTAATAGCTTCTGCAACACTTGGTGTAGATTCTCTTCTGTTGAGTGCTGAAAATATCCCTGGGAAGGCCAAGCTTACACTCACAACGCAGCACAGAACGATCAATGACTTCATTTTTTTCAAGTAAATATTTCGATTAGTTTCTGCAAAAAGAAAAAAAAACCCATCTTCTTCATATGGATATTTTAAAGGAGTGTAAAGCAATTCTAGTGAAAATGATCTAAATATCATAACATTAACAATTCCATCGATTACAGACTTAGTAATCAAGAAAGACATTCAATTGTTAGGACTGATTTTATTTTGATATAACTGGCAACAATGTAAAAAAATATGTTTATGACATCTGTATGAGAGAGAAATTAATCATCGTACCATGAAAAAACAATGTATAAAACCCTTTTATAAAGTTTTGGTGATTGTTTTGTAGCTTGTTCAAAGTTTGAAAATAAATAAAGTTCACATCACTAGATTAAAAGTTCAATACTGGTAACAGTGCAACTTAAAATAACAAAAAGGAGGCAATTAGAAAACCTGATTCGAGCTCTTGCAAACGTGACGATATTCCTCAGTGCGCGTTCAATATCGTAGCTGCAACGACAGACTACTGGACGTTTAGCTAGCCTAGCCGCTACATGGATTAAAATATCACAAAAAATCGTGCTAGGTAGAAAATCCATTATGACGTCATGGAATTCAAAATTTATTGACGTCATATATATCTAAATAAATATCTACATATAATTAAGATATTTCTATGTGTTATTTCAAGCGTACTTGTAGTGTACAAAGACTACCATCGTGTTATAGCAGAAATAGGAGTAATTCTATTCCATAGAATAATTTAACAATCGATGCAATTTTTTTTAAATCGAGCTAGCTACGTAGCATGTCATTGACATAGATAGATGTCTAGGAGATAGCGGCTATGCTACCTTGTGTGATGTTGAACGCAACCTTGTTTGCGCTTCATATAACAGGCTTAAACTTTTGTTCAAAGTCGTGAGTTTCATCTACAAAAGACTCATCAGTGACGCTCGAATAAAAAAAATCAAAAAGCCCAAATAATGTTCGAAGTTGAAGAGCATTGAGGACCAAAAATTCCGAAAGTTTTTTCTATATACAGCTTAAGGTTCACAATGTAATCTATTCCTGTTAGTACATAGTTAAAAAAAATATGCCCCTAATGTTGTAACACGATAAGCTGTATACTTCTTTCGCAGGAAGAACATTTATAATTCCTATTCTACTTAGGTTAATAGCATACTTTTTTTTAGAGACGTCCACACTTACAAATACCGCTATACTTAGTAGATTAGTGTGAATAAATTCTAATAGTTTGACAATAAAATCACTGATTTATGCCTACCGCTATAATCCAACTACTAAAATTGAAATAGGAAAGAACTGTTCTAGTTGTCTCGTTTTCAAATAAACAGGTTGGATTTGGTAATTGTGTTTCTTTTTCTGTATGCAGAACGGAGAAGCAAAATACTGTAGACTTTTTACATTGTAAACAAGCATGCTAGTCACCTTGCTATGCGTCAGAGGTGTAAACACACAAAATACTGTAGAATTTTTACCTTGTAAACAAGCAAGCTAGTCACCTTGCTATGCGTTAGAGGTGTAAAACACACAAAATACTGTAGACCTTTTACCTTGTTAACAAGCATGCTAGTCACCTTGCTGTGAGCCAGAGGTGTAAAACACATGGCACACAATGATTTAAATGATATATAATGTAGTATATTATTTTCTGAACAAGCCACTCGAAACGACGGAATCATTGACAGATGTTGATTGTAATGCGGAAATTCAGGTTCATAAAAAATAATAGAAAGTCGATGACACAAAGCAATATTCACAAAAATTATGTAGTTGAAACACAATTATTTGAAATTATTGAAAACTTTATTATAATTTTTCTTTTAATCTAAGGAGAATGTGTGGATGAGTTATCACACTAAATACCCCCGTAAAAGAAAAAGAAAAGAAAAATGTGATCACGGAGCTTGTTTTCATGCAACATAACAATAGGTGTATTTTCAAAAAGAGAGACGACGATCCCAAAGGGACATTCAAACACATAAGTCGAAAATAAAGGAAAAAAAAGACAAACAACAGTTCACAAAACACAACATAGAAATCTAAAGACTGAGCAAACTACAATTCATCATCAATTTTAAAAATCAGGAATAAACAGCCTTACATATCCTGTCTAATTTTTTTTATTGTCATCTAATATCTTTAAAATTGTTAACAATAATTTACCATAAAACATGACAATTAATGGTTTTTTTTAAATGATAATAAATTGCATTTCAATATTACAACTTACAAATTGCAGTAAAAAAATATACCTGTTTTTGAACCAAACCTGTCCCCACGATTTACAGTCCTCTTAACTACTTTAATATCAAAGGAGAAGTATTTCATGCATTTTCGGGAAGAAACAAAAAAAAAATCAAAAATCAAATTCTTAGGTGGGTAATGTTGGGCGACCCAAGTGAAGGGCCTTTTGGACTACATTAGGAAAAGAAAGAGCAAATTCGGAAGGGCAAGGATTTTTTTTTACAATTTGAAGAAAATTACGAATCCATAAAAAAATTCTCTTCAACCAGATTGAAATAGTTCAAAATAAAAGATGACGAATTTGAAGTGTCAAAAGTCTTATCTTGGACTCAAAACTAATCAAGTTTGAACAATTTGGATTACCAATTAACATGCAAAATATTTCAATTAATATTCAATGCAAAGATTATTTCAACATTACTTAAATTTACTCTTAAATTAACATTTCATAATCATTGGTTAAACACTCTGGTGATTCTGATAGCTGGTACATATTGGTACATATTGGAACGGAAAGGACATGGTGCAAAAACACATACAAATAAATTACTAGCTGCACAAAAAAGCATATTAAATAAACGTAAAGAAAAAACAGCATATATTTATCAAGAATGATAAAAAAAATTAGATTGTCCTTCTTTTTATTCAACAACAATATGCACGCGCTATTAACAATTACTCCACTGACACATCTATATCAGTGAAGGTCCTGGTTTCATTAGTACCAGAAATAAAATAATTTGTCAAGCTATGCTTACCTTTAATCTCTGAATCCGTGATGAGTGCCAGAGATTGGGCTTTCCAGGTTTTATACAAAATGGCATGATTGTCAAATTGGTCAAACCTTTTAGTTAAATGTTTAATGACTAGAATTATAAAGGTGAAATATAATATGGTCTTAAATGCGGTTATTTTGAAAAGAATAAAATAAATTCACTTAATAGTTGATAATTCATATTTAGTTTTAGTTTAATTTATACAGGCAATTCTAACAAAATAAAAATAATGACTTATAATACCATTTGTGGATTATATTTAATGACATATTTTTTTGAGATTCGCCTACATTGTCACACCAAATTTTTTTTGGGATTGCAGTGTTACAGCCCACGTATCCGATTATTCATTAAAAAACTGATTTCATGGGATATTTCGTTATATTATTTGGTAATTTGCTTCCTCCCTCAAGCCACAGAGTTCAGTAGTAAGCAATGTGACTTGTTGACAAAGACTTTATAATAATAATGGGTTTTTGGTAGGGAGTCAAACTTTCAATTGGACTGTTATCACCCGGGGAGTGATATCGCATTGATATGGTTTAGCAAATAGTGCTATCTCTTGGCTCGAATACAATGTAGTGTAAAAAATTCTCAAAACGAGCCTTTAGCCGCGATTGATTTGTTCTGCGGATGCTGAACGTCCATTGGCAATACATTTCATGTTAATGACACGAAGAATGTACAGCATTCGCATCTGACCATAACTAATAAATAACTCCTAATATATATTTGAAGCAACGAATCAAAACAAAACTACTACTAACGGGCGGGGGGGGGGGGGGGGGGTGTTGACGACCTTGCCTACACATGAATACAAGAAATGTAAAGAAGATCCACCAGGATAGGGGGCCGAAATTATGACTGGCGTGTGATAAAAAGAGGACTTTAGGCGAAGGGTCAGAATTTTGCATTTCAAAAGACAATTATGGATTCCTAAAAATCTATCCATCAACCATTGGTAATAGTTAAAAAAACATTTCTATTTTGATGTTATAGAACTGATTTTTGTGGTTATTGGTACTACTCAAGTATGAAAAATGTTTTTAATTACTGATCAACATGCAATGAGCATTTAAGTCAGTAAGATTTTTTGATACACGTTTACTTTTTACTTAATCTGAGAGGTAGTTCGGTCTCCTTTTTTTCACTTATTCTGACAGGTAGTTAGTTCCTTTTGGTCATATACTCTTCGTGTGTATGGTCTGATACATTTTGGCTTTAAAATATCGGGTTTGAGCGTTTCTGATGAAGATAATTCCAGAAAAGCGTTTCGGACGCACGAAATTAATCGAGTGTTGTTTTCATTTGCCAGTACTGGGTCGATGTCAATGCTGATGGAGTGCCAGTCCCCGAGAGTATCCTCAACTCAGCAAAATATGTGCTTAGGTACATCAACATGATTTATAATAAACTTTTCGTTAATTCTTTGTTGATAAATAAAGAAATTATTCAGAAACTAAGGTTCCAACTCCTTCAGACAAAGTTGCCCTTAGATGAGTTTGGATACTTTTTTATGTCCATTTTGTTTATATGTGTCAATGTCTCATTCATACTCAGTTTTCAAATGCAGTGGTTTGAGCGTTCCCGATGAAAATAAATTAATAAACGCGGTAAGGACGAACGAAATAAATAAAGCGATATTTTCATATACACCATCTAAACCTGAAATTCATTTGATAATAAATGTCTACAAGCATTGTAAGCAAATTTGCTTTCTTAATATCAGTAACGGAACCAATTTTACTGCACTAGATGCGTTTTGACAAATAATGTATTATCAGTGTGCTCGAGGTCAAATTAAAGAAATTAAAGAGCTGATAAAACCAAAAAAGGACAAAAAGTATAGCCATTGTTAAATATTCAAGGCCGTACCCAAAAGATGTCCTTTTCTCATTTCCCCGTTCCAGATGATACAAAATAACGGTTTTCTTAACCAAAACAAAAAGACAATCATATTGACGGTTTTATAAATTTGGTGATTTATACACTTGACATTGTGTATAATTTGATATAATTGTTAGAACCTCTTTTAGATGCTTTTTTATGACAATGCACATCGACAGGGCCGAACATAATCTTAAACGTATTATGAAAACGATAATAGCAGGAAAAAATTTTCCTTTCCCTTTAAAAAGCTGGATAACAAATGTTCCTTTTGATTTAAATTTACGCATATTCTATACAATAATCGAACCCATTATAGAACTTCACAGTGGTTGCCTTATTATGCTGCGAGAAAGATATTTTCTGGTAAAATTTAAACTGTTATTTTCCTTCCTCTAAATTTGTTTATAATAACTTAAATTAATGTTTCAAACTCTCAATTTGTCGGTGTGTCCTTTGTATATACATGTACTAAAATAAAATATCTAATGATTAGTGTTTGCTGTCATTTTGAACAGAATTGACATTTTCGATAATTGCATGAGAAAACAATTTTGATAAAATTTAAATTGTATATCAAAATTATTCAAATTTAATCCAGATGTCGAGTGTCATGAACACATTATTTCAATTAAGTAATATATTACAGAGTTTAAATCAAGGGCAATATAGATTTGCTCAATCTTTTTTGTCAATTTTAACCTTGGTGTTGAATAAAATCTTAATGTCTGCTTTGATTAACACCTCCCTCGAAAAAAATCCACAAAAATGTTCAATAGATAGAAGTAAGTCTGCAAACGCCACAAACCTGACAATGAAATCACTAACCTATCGCCGTTTCTACTTTGCATCATGCATGGCTTGACATTTGTCTAATGTTAAACACTATAGTTTGAACCCCAAATTTGTATCGTTGAATTGATTTCTCATTCATTCACATGTATATTTCACATATTTGTTCATGAACATTCAGATGAATGATTGTTAAACGTTCAGCATTGAACCCACAAACCAGTTTCAGGACGAGAACATGTTTGTGTGATTTTGATAGCATACCTACATTTACAATCGGACGTTAGCTCACAAGACAACAATCAATAAAAAAATGTTTGTTACCCTACTCACATTGTAAGCACTACGAACAAACAAGTTTTTGCGCTTACTCTTCAATTATTCATGTTTGGTTGATAAACAGTAACTGCCAGTTTCACATGGACATTCCACCTCTCACACTAGTATAAAGCACGCTTCAAAAACCTAGTTGCAGAGGTTCCATATTTAATCATGTTTATATATAATTGAATGATAAATGCTTTTATCTAATTTTTAGAATGCATTATGTAGATAGAATCTCCATTATTATATAAGATTGTTGTTCAACAGTGATCACATATATGACAACAACAAATACAAGTATAACGTCAAACAATAATGTTGATGATAGTCCATTATATGTCTTCCTCAGTTTGACTGAGCGTGTATGTGCATGGCGGGTGTTTTATGTTTAGCAGGAGATGTTTACCCTGTCGACGCACGCGGTCTCGCTCCTTTTGGAGTTCATAAAATTATCTCAGATTTTATTTGTTACTTTGATTTGTCTCTTCTCGATCGATTTTCGAGATTTAAACATCAGTAAACTAACGCCGCCTTAATGTATTACCCTGTGCTTCTTTAGGTGTAATACCACCATTGATTTTCCCCTATTAGTCTTTGTTAAATTTGCACTTTTCAAAAAATTGTGCAGAATTTATCTTTGTTTCAAATAAAGAAATACTTGGCATGAGTAAACTTTTATCCTGTCCAGTACTATAGAAAAAATTTCACATAACATTTTCGTAAGCAACCGGATGTGACGTACTATGATTTGGTGGTATTACACCTTTATACACGTAATGTTGACTACTGTAAACCAACTTATTTTCGCGGATACTTTATTTCGCGTTTCGCCCTTTCTAACACACTTCGCGGCGATTAAAGTTCGCGATTCTCTAATTTTCTTGATGTAGTTGAACAAGGAAAGATCCAAGTTTTACATATTCGCGACGATTTACATTGTTCTACTCGCGAACGTCGCGAAAATAAATCGCCGGCGAAAATTAGTTGGTTTACAGTAATTGCATTGGCAAAATATTTTGAATTAATTCTGCCGGAAGTTTCGTAATAACAATGATGATAATGTTAGTCCTTTTTCTTTCTGTCCTCATCTATGTATATCAGTACTAGACATTTCCCTCGCCGAGTCTATTTTCATAACAGTGTTTGTTAGAACATTCATCAGTTCTTCTAGTAACTTTAGTACTTTCAATGACCAAAGGAGATGTCGCAAGGGTTCATTAGGGGCCGCGATAATTAACTATAATTCGGCGAGTTGCGAATCCCATGTTGTATATGTCGCTTGCAGTATGCAACAGTTTTTTTTAATAGTATCTAGTTTCAAAATAACATTAAATACTCCAATTGCTTAACTAGTATAACAAATATCACCAATATACTAGTAACTTACGTCATTAAAAATAAAATCAATTTTAAGATTAATGTACAAGTCATATAGCTAACAAGCTTTCGAAAGCTCCATTGGACCCCTAAACTTTTAAACTTTGCCATTACCATTAACTCCAAAACAGATACTATGAATGATAAATTTCTGATGACCCTAACTATCATCTAGTATGATTGGCAACAAGTTTTAAAAATAAACGAAAGAAAAATTAATAAAAACAAAATCAAATTACGGGCAAAATCACATTAATTTTGGGAAGATAACAGATTTGAATCCCTTACAAGAACTATGGTTTAAGACTCCTTATTGCAACCCACAAGGCAACATTTGTTGCTAAAATATACCAATCCTTATATGAAAATTTGTTTTTAAGGGCAAGATATTTAGAGAAAATGTCTGTTCTCGGCGGAGGAAATGTCTAAAACTGATAGAATTAATTCAAAATAATTCACCAATGCAATTAGTCAACATTACATAAAAAGAAAACAAGGGTCATATATTAAAGCGACAGCAGTTTACCGATATTCAAATCTGGAGGATCAAGAAGAGACAAATCAAAATAACAAATAAAAATTGAAAGTATCTCATGAACTCCAAAAGGAGCAATACCGGGTGCGTCAACAGGGTTAACATCTTCTTCTATACATGACTCACCCGCC